GTCAAAGTGAGAGGAATGAGTGGAGGAAGAGAGGCCGAGGGCCCAGCTATCCCTGGAACTAAAAAAAAATAGCTCGCTTAGCGCATTTGCATGGCTGGGTCACTTTTTACCCAGGAGCATAGGAAATCTGTACTTCATTTAGTTTACTTTTTAAATATATTTCTATTGATTTCAAACAGGAAGGGAGAGAGAGAGAGATAGAAATATCAATGATGAGAGAGAATCACTGATAGGCTGCCTCCTGCACACCGCCTACTGGGGATTGAGCCTGCAACCCCTTGACAGGAATCAAACCCAGGACACTTCCGTCTGCAGCCCGACGCTCTATACCCTGAGCCAGACCATCCAGGGCTGTACTTCAGTTCATTTAACATGGAGCAATGCCAAGCAGCCACCGCAGCGGGTCTGAAGGACAGGGACAGCTGTCTGGCCCTGCTTCCTTCCTGCAGGCTACAATGAGAATGTAATGGCAGGAGGTGACACAGTCAAGACAGACCGTGAGGCGAAGCTGGAAATGAACTCACAGCAGAGCAACACAACAGAGAGCCCAGGTCCCCGGTATCACAGAGCAACATACCAGCCCCAGACCGGATATCTTGGCTTTCATGCCAAAGAAATAAACCTCTATCTTGTTTCAATCCCTGTTTTGTTAGAGCTAAAACTAGTCAAACTCAAGTGAGTTGAACTAAGTAGGAGAAAAGGTGAAACCATGAGGGGCCTGACAAAGAAAGGATCAGACTTAGAGGTTTGCTCTTGAAGGTTTAGGCAGGCGTCCTCAAACTTTTTAAAGTGGGGGCCAGATCACGGTCCCTCAGAGAGCTGGAGAGAAGTTGGTGGAAGAGGGAAGGCTGGGATCAAGGGGGGGGCTTTCAGAGTTCAGATTTCAGAAGAGGCACAGTTCTCAGGGAAAGGTAGTTAAATCCTACCAATAACAATGGCAGCGCATCATTTTTTGGAATTTTAGGTGAACTGAACACTCACTGAGCTAAGCAAGTGCTTTCCAAACCCCAAAGAGGTAGGTACTCCTATTAGCCCTAAGTCGATGCTGAGGAAACTAAGATTCAAGAGAAATTGACTCATTTGCTCAACATACTCAACCTCTAAGTGGTGCTTAGAATTTTTTTAAAATAAATCTTTATTGTTCATATTATTACAAAAGTTCCTCATTTTTTCCCCCTCCACCGAGTGATGCTTAGAATTTGATGCAAGAGTCAGAATATATTACCCACTGGGACACACTGCTGACCAAATGTCCCTCTCTGTCTCTCCTTACCACCCTCCACCACCCCACCCACCCCCATCCCAGTCTCCAAAAGTAAAACAGAACAAAGAGCTCACCTGCAGCCACTTTCCCTGGAGAAGGAATGAGAACTCCACCCATGTCAAAAATGACCGCTCTGTAGGGGCCGCCTCCGGAATGTGTCCATCGCCAGGGTCCCTGGTGCCCACACTGCTTGTGTTTCAGGAAGGCTGCCCTCCAAGCCCACTGGAGATGCGAGGACCGGAAAAGCCGCCTTATGCACATGTTGAGGCCAAAGCTGTGTGAGAAGGCACAGGGCACAGTTTGCCTTCACTGCCTCCATCCAGACCTCCATCCTGCAGCTCGGGGGCGCCACCTGGACAACCCTGATCCCCAACAAACACTCCAAACCACAACCAGGATTGAGTTCTATCTCCACCCTCCCACCTCCTTTTGGTGAGTTCCCTAGCTCAGGGAAGGGCTCCGCCATTCACCTAGCTGCCTGTCTAGAAAACGGGAGTGGGTACCTTAGTCCTCCACCAGCCACCTCAGCTCCAGTTGTTCTGTGCTTGTCAGTTCCTCCTGAAAATCCCACACCCTCTCTCTACTCTCATTGCCATTCTCTCAGATCATTGCAACAGCCTCTTCCCAAATCTCTTCATTCTTTCTTCACTCCTTAGCCAGAGTAATCGTTCAAAAGTGCCAATTTGATCCCATCCTAACCCCATTTAAAAACTTCAATGTCTCCCCATTGCCCTCAAGATACACTTCCTTAACCTGACTTAAAAGGCCCTTTCAGATCTGCCTCCCCCTCTTTCTACATATTAACCTGGATGATCTGGACACACAAATCCATATGCAGCTCTCTCAACCAGTGTTCTCCTCCTGCTCCCAGGCCTTTCATATGTTTCCTCGGCTTGTGATGCTCCCTTCTGCTTGTTACCTGGCTATTTCCAAACTGTCCTTTAGGTCTGTTTCTCTGTCACTTCCTTCCTGAAACCTCTTCTGGCTACCAGGAAAGATAGATGAGGAGTCTCTCCAATATATTCCTAGGATGCCTGTACTCAGCTCCTCCTAGCACTTATGAGGCCACCATCACACCATCACCCTTCCTGCAGATGACTGCAATGGCCTCCTAACATTGCCTCTTTCCTAAACTGATTTCAAAAGTTTTCAGAAAAGAAAAAACATATACATGTAATACATACACACACACACACACACACACGGGGGTAGATATATACCTATAGATGCATGTAGAGAAATAAATCAAATGTGGCTAAATGTTAATAATCAATCTACCGGTAGGTGAAAGGTATATAATGAAGTATATTGAGAGATCTTATACTACTCTTTAAACTTTTCTATAGGTCTGATATATAAAGCTGGGGGGAAATCAAAATAATTAAAGCAACTCCTATTTGTAGTCATTTCCTCATTAAATGATTTGAAGTTTATGTGATTTCTACAGTTAAAAAAAAAAAAGCTTACTGAAAATCAGGTTGGTAAGACAGCCTACAAGTTTATGAGAGTCACTTTAGGGCCACCATAAGGATTCAATAAACCAAGAATCTAAAGAAGGGATTTTTAAGGAGTAACTCTTCTAGTTTATAAACTGTGTTTTTCATGTATTGATAATTGGAAATTGGTTGAACTGGGAATTGAATTTTGAAATGAAAAACTTAGAGGTTGATTTGTAATTTCAATTTTACTTGTTTCTTTGCCAAGGCCAAAATTTATAACAGGAGAAATTTATTTATAGGCTCCTAAAACATCAACATCTTTTATGTGAGGGCTTAACAGAGATGAAAGTGTCTCTGGGGCCTGAAGGGCTTGACTTCCACCCTCACCGAGGACACTGTCCTCCACAGACTCCCACTAATGGATGGTGGGCAAAGCTCCCATGACTAGCTTGCTTATTCTTTCCATTTAGAGAGGATGGTTCTGTTCTAGCCACTTCCCAATACTCTCCTCGGCGAAGGAAAATGCTGTGATTTCTCGTATTTCTAGGCCATTGTACCTGCCACGTTCACTGACTGAACTGCCTTTCCCTGCTGTTGGCCTGGTGAATCTCCATTCACTTCTACACGACAGCCTCAGCTCTCCCCTCTGGAGGGACTTTTCTTTCTTTTTCCAGGTGGACTATGTTACTTCCCCCCCCCTCCTCTCACTGCCTTTTCTTCATACCTTCACGTTGCCTGGGTTCAAATTCTAGCTCCTCCACTCACTAAAGGAGATCCTGACCAGGTTACTCTCTCTCTCTTAGCCTCAATGGGAAAAATGATAGTACCTGTCTCATAAAGTCGTTACTATTACATGAGGTAAAGTATGTAAAGCACGCGTTTGGACTTGGCACACTATTAAATGTTATCTATTGTACTACTGTAATATACTATAAAATGTTCACATGAGGTCTCACGTTACATGCACATACCATGTGCACATGGCACATGTACTTTCTAATAAGCCAGTGATTCTTAACAGGGGGGTAATTTTGCCCCCAAGGGGTCCTTTGGCAATGTCTGGAAACATTTTGTTTGTCACCACTTGGGGCGTGCCACCAGTACCTAATGGGTCAGGCCAGGGATGCTGCTAAACACTTTAGAAAGCATAGGAAACACACACACACCTGGGAGAATTATCAGAACCCAAAATGTCAACAGTGCAAAGGATGAGAAACCCTAATATAAGCAGTGTATACTGGATCGTATTTCATAGGGCACAGTCACAAGGTGAATGCACTCTATATACCTTCATATGTCCAGGATGTGCTGTGACACCTCTAGATATTATAGCATACTTAGAATAGCATCTGGTCATGTATACATCACATACAGATTGTGGCTCTCAATATCCACCCATGTGCTAAAGGCGTCTGGAAAGAAAGCTGGATTTCAGAAAAACTGCTGGACAAAGAGCCACAGACTCGATTCATTTCACCCTCACAGCTGAATGAGGATATTATTCCAATCCTATGCAAAACCTAGATGAAGGTCACACAACCTAATGATCAAGGGCGACTGCATACTAAAAGGAGCTGGGTGTTTATCTTATTCACGAATGTATCCCCACCATGCCAGCAGTGCCCGAGGTTCTATAAACGTCTGTGAAGTGATGGAGCGGGGAGAGGGACCCAGATTTATAGCCAGCCTTACCCAGCCTACCGCCCAACTTGATAGAGCAGGAGTCACTGCAATCGAGTCCCTACTGCTCCCCGGGCCCTCAGAGAAATGGATTCCCCTGGGTCTCCGCGTACCGTGCGGCTGACACGAAGCAACCCGGCCTAAAGCTAGAGCTAGCGGTCAAACATGACAGAAAGGGGCAAGAGCTCTTCGCATAACGCAGGTCCTTGGACACTTCGGGGACCTCGCGGGGCGGGGTGGGCTGAAGGCGAGGCCTGTCGGGGGAGGTACACTTGGGCCTGGGCGCCAACCCGCCGATCGGCCCAATGTGGGGGGTAAGGGGTGCCCGCAATGCCCACGCCGTCCCCCCTTCCCAACCTCAGCGAGATCCGGTCCCGCGGGGCTCAGGCTCCGAGCTGCCACGCCAGTCACGCGGCCGCCAGCCCAGCCAATCGGGGCGCGCGCCGGCTCGCGCATGCGTCGCCCCGCGGGTCAGCGACGGCGGCCGGGAGGCGGAAGCGGAGGTTGTTGTGGCTCCGGGGCTTGTGTGCGGAGCTGCTGCGCCGAGGCGGCGGCCGCGGCGCTGAGGTGGTGGCGGGGGCGCTGCCTGCCTCGGGCCGCCCGGCCTCTCGGCTCGACTCCCAGCCTCTCCGGAGCCCGCCGGGGCCCGCGCCGGCCAGCGCCTGCCCTATGAGTGTGTCACTGGTTGTCATCCGACTGGAGCTCGCGGAACACTCGCCCGTCCCCGCCGGCTTCGGCTTCAGCGCCGCGGGTAAGTCCGCGGCCTCGCCGCCCTCCGCGGAGCCGGCGCCTGGGCCCCGGGCCCCGGGCCCCGGGGGGGAGCTTGTCCTCCCCAAGAAAGGCCCGGGAAAGGCCCCGGGAAGGGCTGCTGCCTCAGAAAGAACTGAGGGGTGAGGGGTGGGTTCCCTCTCACTCCGTACTTCCCTAAGGGTCTTCCCGGGTGGTTTCGGTGGGAAGCCCCCTCCCCCGCCCCCCTTCCCGCCGCCGCCCACGGGAACGCCGTTCACACCTGGCGCGTCGCTTCCCCGCCCTCGGGTCCAGGCGCGTTTTTAAGGTGCTCTCCTCTGGGCTTTGTGGAGGCAGGGACCCCAGCGACGCCGACGGCCCCTGGTTTAATTAAATCGTTCCTCTTTGAAAAACAAAACAAAACAAAAAACCCTACTCATTTAGGCGCCTCGTAACACTGGTAATGATCATAATTAACGTTGGTGCATTTCCTATGTCGCACAGCTGTACTGTATGTGTGTTATCGTAACCCTGTTCGGTTAGATTGGTGGATGCCCCTTGTCACAAACTGGGAAACTAAAACCCAGTGATTAAATGGCCTGTCCACCATGTATCTGTGAGTCGTGAAACTGGGATTCTTCTTTTTTTTTTTTTAAATATATTTTATTGATTTTTTTTAGACAGGAAGAGAGAGGGATAGAGAGTTAGAAACATCGATGAGAGAGAATCATCGATCAGCTGCCTCTTGCACACACCCCCCACTGGGGATATGCCCGCAACCAAGGTACATGCCCTTGACCGGAATCGAACCCGGAACCCTTCGGTCCGCAGGCCGACTCTCTATCCACTGAGCCAAACTGGTTTCGGCGAAACTGGGATTCTTGAGGGTCTGAGCTCTTCCTTACCAGCCACTTGACCTCCTTAGGTTGTGAAAGCAGCTATGGCTGTTTCTTGGGCCTCCAACAATTACCTATCAATAACATTCATCCAAGAAATGCTTACTGAATGCATCCTCTCTGCTGGAGCTTTGATTTGTGTGCAGAGTCAGATGTGGTCCTTGCCTTAGTGGAACCAGCAGTTCACAGGGGGAGACAGATACATTAATTACAGAATAAATAGAGAACTACAACGATGAAGGTAAAGAAGAAACAGTTTGGAAAACTATTACAGGGGGAACATTTGGTTTGGGAAGGGGGACCAAGGCAGGTAGGGATGGTGTAAATTGGAAACTCCTGAGTTTGTGAATTTTGGAGCTGCAAATTAAAGATTGAACATTATTTAATGAGTGAGGAGCCATTTTATTTTTTAATTTTAAAAAATATATATTTTATTGATTTTTTTTTTTGCCCCCCTCCCTCCCATACATACCCTCCCTCCTCAGAGTTTTATGTCCATTGGTTGTACTTATATGCATGTATACAAGTCCTTCGGTTGATCTATTATCGAGGAGCCATTTTAAAAAATATATATTTTTATTGATTTTTTTTACAGAGAGGAAGAGAGAGAGAGAGAGTTAGAAACATCGATGAGAAACATCTATCAGCTGCCTCTTGCACACCCTCTACTGGGGATATGCCTGCAACCAAGATACATGCCCTTGACGGGAATCGAACCCAGGACCTTTCAGTCCCCAGGCTGATGCTCTATCCACTGAGCCAAACCTGTTTCAGCGAGGAGCCATTTTTAAAGATTAAAAATGATCTCTGAGTTCTGAAAGTCAAACAGATCTACACTAGCCACATAGTCTCTTCTACATAGCTCAGTCATTGATGCGTTTAGTCATTTATTCAGTAAATCATTAAAGAGCTTCCAGTGTATGCTGGGTGCTGTGGTGTAAGTGGTGGACACAACAGGCCTAGTCTCTGCCCTGAGGGGATTGGTACTAAGGATATTTCAGTGAAGTTGCCAAATTCCTTTTCCGTTGATTTAAGACAGTGATCAGAGATTTGCGTGATATGACTCCAATACAGGGTCTTTAAGAATGCTTAAACATTTTTGTAAGTTTTCTTTATGAATGATAATGACTTGATGCTTTATTTTGGGTTCAACACATTTATACTTTACTTGGTGTTACAAAAAGGCTGGTTCATCTGGGCATAGTCACCGTCAAAACTTCTATAACCGGTTACACTCATTAAATTGCTTTAGAAGTGAATGATTTCACTAGAACAGCCCTGCATTTCTGAATTTATTGCACTGGGCAGTATGGACTGTCTGCTGGCGGCTGCAGGAGCCCCAGGAGGGAGAGAGATGGACACTGCAGGAAAGCAGCAGAGGGAAGAGGGAAGCCTATCGGTGGGTACATTAAGAGTGAAAAGGAGCCTGTTTTATATCAGGTATTAATCATTCATGCGTTCTCTAGCCGGGGAAATGTCCGATGAGGAGATCAAAGAGAAGACACTAGCTTCAGCTGTAGCCTGTTTAGAAGGGAAGTCACCAGGGGAGAAGGCGGCAATCATACATCAGCATCTTGGCCGTCGAGAAATGACAGACGTGATCATTGAGACCATGAAGTCCAACCCAGGTATGCTTTCTAAAATCCTAGACTCTTTTGCAACATAAACCTCTGGTTGCCTGTTTACACATGTTGGTCAGTGAGCCCATGATTTTTATCTTTCACTGACTGTGTGCTTTGCATGAGATTGTCAAGCCACATTTTAACTTCCCCAAATATATCTCCTAAATTAATCCTAACAATCTGGGTGGACAATTCTATTCGGTGAGGAGAGCTACTTACCATCTAGGTCAGTGGCAGATCATGAATGAATCCAAATGGGTATGTTGTGTCTCCCCCTGCTCTGCCAGCTCGCTCCAGCCAGGGGAGTGAAAGGGTGGATGTATACTACATGTCCAGCATGGAGGTGGTTAGAACTGGTAGGGTTGGTTTTCAAACTTAATAGCTCTGAATGTTTGTCCTATTTAAAAGTGCATGATGTAAGGCACCTGCTTTTATTATGATATTAAAAAGCTAGAGGCCCAGTACACAAATCCGTGCACATTGAAAGGAAATGAATAAGAAATATTTTAGAGGTCGCAGAGGGACCATGGGAAGGTTCCAGAGCGTGTCCATCCCCTCTTTCCCAGTCCTGATTAGGGACCAGCTGGACCCCAGCAGCAAGCTAACCTACGAGTCAGAATGTCTTCCCTCTGGTGACCAATGCACATCATAAGGACTGGTTGAGTGGTTGACCGAACAGTTGGACACTTATTTTTTATTTTTTATTTTTTTATTTTATTGATATTTCACAGAGAGGAGGAAGGGAGAGAGATAGAGAGCTAGAAATGTCAATGAGAGAGAAACATCGACCAGCTGCCTCCCGCACACCCCCCACCGGAGATGTGCCCGCAACCAATGCACATGCCCTTGACTAGAATCGAACCTGGGACCCCCCAGTCCACAGACCGACGCTCCACCGCTGAGCCAAACCGGTTTCAGCCGAACAGTTGGACACTTAGCATATTAGGTTTTATACACACACACACACACACACACATATGTGTGTGTGTGTGTGTGTGTGTGTATTATATATATATACACACACACTAGTGGCCCAGTGCACAAAATTTGTGCACATTAAAAGGGAATTAATTAGAGGAAATATTTTAATATTACTATTTGACCTTCCTCTATAATAGAAGTGTCAGAGATGAAAGAAAATTAGTAAAATGTATATGAAAATCTCCCTCCTGTCAGTCTGGGGGCGCTGCAGGACCCAGAGTCAAGTCCCTGCCCACCCGTGTGCGCCTACAAATCTCAGGAGACCCAGACCCAGCCAACCCCCATTATGCCCCTGCCAGGTGGGGGGGGAGGGGGGATGCGGCCTCAGGTCCCCCAGCCCCTGTGCAAGGCCACAAAGACATGACCATTTGTGTATTAGCTCTTTATTATATAGGATAGATGTAAGAGTCACCTTGAGGGCGGTAATGGGATTTTTATGGAGGAGAGAGCACTTTCTAGTTGAGATACTCCAAAACATGGCTGTTCTGTGAATATAGTTCTTAATACATGACAATTTCTCTGTCAGGGCTCATTACTCTGACTCAAAATTTTAATCTTATTAGAATCCTTCATATTTCCTATCATTTTATAATCTGCTAATTTTTAATTTGTGAAAGATGAGCTGAAAGCTGCAGTGGAAGAAAGAAAGTCTTCAGAAGCATCCCCCTCTGCACAGAAAAGTAAAGAAAGTGTAAATACTCCTGATTCTCCATCCAAACAGCTTCCAGACCAGATTTCATTCTTCAGTGGAAATCCATCAGTTGAAATAGTTCATGGTATTATGCATCTATATAAGACAAAGTAAGAAAAACCTTTTTCCTTTTGAGTTGGTCTGTTTTTGCTCTAGGGAAGAAAAGAATCTTTTACCCTGAAGGGAAGTATATTTTAAGCTTCAGAAACATAGTACTTTCATATATTGTGTGTTAGAGAATTCTTAAATGTTTTATATTTGGTTAATCTTGTAGATTGGGTCAGAGCTTCTCCTTATAAAAGAAGGGTGTAAATAGCCCTCCTAGGAAAATATTATCTGAGAAGGTAGGGATGCAAGGTGATTGGAAAATGGAAAGGAAAGAAGATAGCAAAGAAAAATTATAAATGACCCATAACATCACAGTAGTCTCATATCCCCACCAAATCTTTATGAAAAAAACTAAGAAATCAGGTAATGGGTAGCAATTTCACCACCTCTTTTTACTCTTTTCTGTGGTCCAAGCAGAAGGCTTACCGGAGATCAACAGAAAGGAAGCTTTTGACTAAATCTATTAGCTGGGCCATCAGCTTCTGGGATAATTAGTAGTTGATTTCTTTAAAGACTGTCCTTGTCCTAACCCAGATGCTAAGTTCCTACAGGGAAATAGTGAATACTCAGAATATTCAGGTAGCCATATGGAATCATAGCTATATTAAAGTGAGTTTGCATCATTTCAAAAGCAAATTATGGTGACGGAGAATCCTCCCCACCCCCATTCCCACTATTACAGAAAACAACGTCTTCATGGTTCAGAATTCTCTTTCTTATCTTTAGAGCTCTTTTATCTTCTAAACACTTAAGAGAAGTCCAGAGTTAGTGTTGTGCTTCCAAGTTACACAATGAGTGATTTTAAAAATTTTCAAAGAGGAAGGAGGGGGGAGAGAGATAGAAACATCAACGATGAGAGAGAATCATTGATTGGTTGCTTGCTGCATGCCTCCTACTGGGGATCGAGCCTGCAACCAGGGCACGTGCCTTAACTGGGAGAACCGTGACCTCCTGGTTCATAGGTCGATGCTCAATCACTGAGCCATGCCAGCTGGGTGAGAGATTATTATTTTTAAAGAAAAGAAAAAAAGAACAACTAATGAAAATAAAACAAACTGCAAATTTGCCTAATGCAGATTTGTAACCATAACAAGCTTTTAATTAATGATTAAAAATTTCAGTGCTGCGTATGATGTAGAACATTTTGAAGTTTACCTTAAACTCCATGTTAGATATGTTTAAAGGATTCTGCATTTACCTATGTAGTATGGATTTTCAGATAAAATAAGAAGCTGTTTAATTGATATGTGAAGTTTTACATGTTTTATTTTTCCTATTGGACATAAAAGTTGTCTAATTAGTGTTGTGTGAACTAACTATACGTCTATTCAAGACAGTCTAATTATTGTCTCATTAGTAAGATGACCTCCTTAAAAGAAGATGTGAGGCGCAGTGCCATGCTGTGTATTCTCACAGTCCCTGCTACAATGACCAGTCATGACCTTATGAAGTTTGTCGCCCCATTTAATGAAGTAATTGAACAAATGAAAATCATCAGAGACTCTACTCCAAATCAATATATGGTGCTGATAAAGTTTAGTGCACAGGTAAAAGTTAAGATATTAAAAATCTCTTTGCCATAGAAACTGTTTTCGAAACTGTGTAATACTATCTGTGTGTGGTTTACATCATTTTGCTCTTAAGATTCATAACTTCTAGGTTAGGTGATTGTAATTCTAGAATGACTTATAAATTCATTAGCAGACACTGAATCTTCTAATTCATACCCATACTTCTTTATAAATCAGATTTGGTATGAAATCTAGGGTTGTATTTGTTTTTTTATCCAGTAGTAACTATTCCAGTAGAACAATAGTTTCCAAACTTTTAAAAGTTGACAGCAATTATTAATTTGCCATTTTAACACTTGTGCCCCTACTTTTATGCTCTCTTTAAAAGACCTTTTTTGGAACATTTTAAAATATAAGATCTTTTTTTTTTAAATTTTGGTGACGAGGTATTTTGTGACATTCCTTGATGTATTAAAGATACTTTACAATTCTGATTGGAAATAGAGATTAGAGAAACAAACACTGAAAGAGTGGTGATATTTTCAGCTTTAAAAAGCACTTGTGCATTATAATTCATATTTTATGTGTCTCAGTTCTAAGACACATAAATTCTTAGGAGCATGCATATTTCTATATGAATATAAAAATTAGGTAAGCTTTAGGTATTATTCAGGTTATTAAAAAGCTACCTTATCTTTAGGTTTCATTCAATCTGTGTGGTTTTTTTTAATAGCCTATTATATTTGTCTTTTCATTCGTTTTGAAATGCAGCTTTGTCAAAAATTACTTGCATCTCACCTCATTTGCGTAATGTTAAAAATGGGTGTTCCTGTGGGGTCAATTGCCTTTGTCTCTGACTGGTCACTGAGATTGGTGGCTGAAAAGGGGCCTATGACACAAGAGCCACTAGGTATTTCCTTCTTCCTCATTATAGAAAATCCAACGCTGACAGCAGTAGCAGCCATTCATTGGTATTGGGAAGGAAGTTAATAGAAGTGAGAGTTGGGTTATATGTTCCAGGGCTACAGAAAGAGAACACTTAGAATGGAAGAGGGTGCACAATTGTTATATTTAACCTTCCAAAGCACCCTACCATTGAAGGAGACATTTTAAACAAATGCTTCAACTATCCTACAAGTTGAGAATGGAAAAACACTTCAACAACTGCTTTCATTGTCAAAGAGACCTTCTGAGGTCACTGAAGGGCTTTGCAAACAATGTGCAAGTGGTATGTTAGACCTTTTAAACCTGGTAAGGGTAACAATAAGATAGTGATAATATGCAAACTTTTGACTACTTGTTCTGTACCATTCACAGTGCTAAATGCTTAATGTGAGTTATTTCATTTCATCCTCACTAGAAACCCTGTGAGGTAGATAAGTACTGTTGTTACCCTTATTTTACAAATGAGGAAACTAGCTGCAGATAGAGGTTGGTGATTTGCCCAAGGTTCCATAGCTAGATGTACATGACTGATCTGGGATTGACCCCTCACTTTTAATTCCTATGGTGGGGTACCCCTCTTATCATAGGAGGAGTATGAAAGTTTGGGTAAGGGAAGACAGTCACTGTCTGAAAGAAATTGTATAATGGCAGTAATTTAGTTACTGCTTCTACTTAACAAAGCCGATCAGTAAAAGGAAAAATCACAGAAACAGGTTGGAGAAAATATTTAAGAACATAATAGATTTGTTAGTCTGAAGTCTAATAAACCCATAAATATTCCTGTAACAAGTGCTTCATAGTGTGCACATAAAGCTGTGGGAATTTTCTATTACTGTTAATATATTTTCTTTGTACTCATGCACTGGCTCTCTACCTCTGTCTTTTGATCAAGTGCAGGTTGCTCAAGTTGATGAATGTTTTCTGAGACTTTGAAACAGCTTATTACATTCTCTTCCCCATGGGGATAGAACCCTTGACTTTGGTATCATGAGTAGTATTATGTACTAGAGGACCAGTGCACGAAATCCATGCATGGGGTCCCCCCCAATTACTCTCCCGTATAGGCCTGGTCCCCCCCCCCCAACTGCCCTCCCCTGCAGGCCTGGTTGCCCCCAGCTGCCCTCCTCTGCAGGCCTGTGTCACTCCTAACTGCCCTCCCCTGCAGTTATTTGTAAATGCTATGTCAATCAGCCAGCCTGCACCCTCTAATCTGGGACCACTCAAGGGCAGTTGGACATCCCTCTCACAATCCAGGACTGCTGGCTCCCAACCGCTCGCCTGCCTGCCAGCCTGATCACTCCCTAAACCACTCCCCTGCCAACCTGATCAATGCCTAACTGCTCCCCTGCCAACCTGGGCTCCCCCCAACTACCCACCTCTGCCAGCTGGTCACCCCTAACTGCCTACTCCTGCAGGCCTGGACCCCCCCAGTTACTCTCCCCTACAGGCCTGTTCCCCCCCCAACTGCTCTCCCCTGCAGGCTTGGTTGCCCCCAGCTGCTTCCCTTCAGGCCTGGTTCCTCCCAACTGCCCTCCCCTTCAGGTCTGGGTCACCCCAACTGTCCTCCCTTTCAGACCTGGGTTCCCCCCCCCCCCCCCAACTTCCCTCCCCTGCAAGCCTGTGTCACCCCTAACTGCCCTCCCCTGTAGGCCTGATTGCCTCCAACTGCTGTTCCCCTGCAGGTCATCTTATGGCGGCCATCTTGTGTCTACATGGGGACAGCCATCTTTGACCACGTGGGGGCAACCATGTTGTGTATTGGAGTGATAGTCAATTTGAATATTACTCTTTTACTAGATAGGATTGTAAATTCTGGATCTTAGGGTCAGAGGCACATTCTATCAGGGACTTTCTAAGGCCTACAACTACCTCCTAGTGTAAGACTTGATGTTATTAAATTTTTGGCCACCAAATGTTGAACACTTACTTCCTAGATAGATGCCAGGCCTGTGCTAAGTGCTTTTCATGCATTAGCTTCTTGAGTCCTCTAAACAATGCCATGAGGTAGATGTTGTTTTGTCACTTTTGTAATTGTGGGAACAAGAGTGAATAAATCCCTTGCCCAAAGCTACATGGCTAATAGTTGTCAGAGTTGGGAATTGAAGCCCAGGCAGCCTGACTCCATAGCCTGAGCTGCTAACTACATTATTTTTTAAAAATATGTTTTTATTGATTTCAGAGAGAAAAGAAGAGGGAGAGAGAGATAGAAACCTCAATGATGAGAGAGAATCATTGATTGGCTGCCTCCTGCATGCCCCCACTGAGGATTGAGTCTGCAACCTGGGCTTGTGCCCTGGGCTTGTACCCTTCTCTATATCTTTTATAATCTCATTAACTTATTTTGGCCTCGGCTTTATACTGGAGGTAATATAAAGAGATGTGCTTACAAAGTTTATTGTGACCTTTAGGAAATTTAGTCTTTAATTAAAGAATTTATAATTCATCAGGATATAGGAAGGCAGGAGGTTCAATTTCATATTTCTTAGGAACAAAACTTTAGAGGATAGTGTGTGTGGACTCGTTTTCACTTGCATGCTTAGGGCAACCTTGAAGACCTCTCTTTTTTAAAGTATATTTTTATTGATTCAGAAAGGAAGGGAAAGGAAGAGAGAGAGAGAGAGAAACATCAATGATGAGAATCATTTATCCTCTGCCTTCACATTGGGGATTCAAGCCCACAACCTAGGCACATGCCCTGACGGGGAATCCAGCCATGACTTCGTGGTTCATGGGTCTACACTCAACCACTGAGCCCCATGGCCCGGCAAGACCCCTCTTTTGAGAAGTAAAAGTATGTTTTCATTACTATAGTGATCATCATGATGGATTTTTCTTTTTCTCAAATTTATCCTGAGACAGGAACAATAGGAACAAGGACTAGGGAAAAAACAAAAGCTGGGTTTTTAAAAGTTTGGGCTCTATACAGTGCAAACATTTTAAATAAAAGAGTTGTTTATTGTGCAAATTTTGCAGTTAGCTTCATGCTTTTGTGCACTTCAGTGGTGGGTTGAAGTGGGAACCATGTGTATTTTGTTTTCTACTCTTGTCCTAGTGCTTAGCACAGTGTGTGATACATGCTAGGTACTCAGTAAATATTTGAAAAAGTGAAGCTACATTTCCAATACCAAGATTTTTTTTTTTTTTAATATATTTTATTGATTTTTTACAGAGAGGAAGGGAGAGAGATAGAGAGCTAGAAACGTCGATGAGAGAGAAACATCGACCAGCTGCCTCTTGCACACCCCCTGACGGGGATGTGCCCGCAACCAACGTACATGCCCCTGACCGGAATCGAACCTGGGACTTTTCAGTCCGCAGACCGACGCTCTACCACTGAGCCAAACCGGTTTCGGCTCCAATACCAAGATTTTAAAGAAGAGATCAATGTGTTCAAAAAAATACATTTCTTCAGTATAAACAACTCCTTCAAGAAAGGATTAATTTATCTGGTGCTGAATCACCTGTCCTGTGTCACACAAACCTTGTCCCTTCCTCTGAGGAGGCATAGTTGTTTAGTGAGCATTTATAGAGCTGGAGGCCGAAGGATGGGTCTTTCTCTTCCCGCTCAGCCTGGCATAGCTGCAGCCAGCTCCTGGTACCTGGGACCCTGAAGAGCTGACCAGTGCACTCATTTCCAGCCCGTCACTTCCCGCAGAACATGAATCCATTTGCTCACTGTGCTGATTCCTCATCTATGAGCATTTCAAGAAGAAGTCATTACTCTTAAAGAATGGGGGAAGCCATTAGATTGCCTCCTCTTAGTATTAAAGAAAATATTATCCAAGAACTAGCTCTTAACATTTTGACGTCAAAATGAATTGTAGTCAGTACACTATGTTGTTTCCTAAAAGAAAACCCCCTCCCCCACCCAGCCGCTACTAAATATAACTTCAGAATTGGTTGTCCTTTATCAGCTGTTTAGCTCCCTTGCTCATATTAAGAAAGCATAAATAATCAAGAATCCACACTTGATTACATCATTAGAATGAAATTTAAAGCTGTGAAAAGCTTATTGTAAGATTCAGAACCCCATGAAGGTAGACCTGCAGGACGATTTTTGCCTGCTGCAGACTTGAATCTCTTCTAGATGATAACATTGTGGCGTTTCCTTTTGTAGATACCCTTCCTCCCCACAAGCAGCCTGTCTGCACTGATAGGGCCAAAGCACACAACTTCCTATGTTGGGGCTAATGGCCGTGTGGGAGTGAAACCCAGACAAGCCTCTAGCTGCCTCTAAAAATGACTGAGTTTAAAAACTGAAATCATCTCTTGTTACTTTCTACTAAGGCTAGTCTAGGTTTGATGTACTCGTGTCCAAATTCACAAATGCATTTATGCCTTTGCAAAGGACTTTTTCTTCTAATTCCATCTGTCTGTTCACTCCAAGGGAAGGAGGTTTAGCATTTCATAGGCTCATTCATCTTGATTTTAGCCAAGAGTTTTGCTTTTGGTATTACACACTGGGTTGTTTAAATTTCTTTATAGGATCCTTACATATCATTATTACTTGTCTTATTGAAGAGATCTTAGCTTTTCATTCCAGTTCCACGTGTCCTTTATTTTTTCGATCATAGATGCTGACATATTTTGAAAACGACTATTCCCTAACCATCTTCCATTAGGATTTGGTTCCAAGCTTTACAAAAATAAGTGTTTTTCTTTCAGCTGCTATGAAAGTGCTGGCTAGAAGGGGGGAAAATACCGTTATCAAGGGAAATGTTGACCATTGCTGGTTGAATATTAAAATTATACTAGCTGTCAGCTTATTACACATCAGTAGCTGCTGCTTGGTTCCAGTAAAATTATCATGTATCAGGAAACATTGTAGAGATGTAGGATCTTGAGCTGCAGAGTTCAATTAGCCTGTGAACCTGCTTCCTGCTTCTGTAGATGTTATTTTTGGCCATTGATTTCTCTCTCAAGTATAAGTTTTAAAAGACATTGAAGAGAATAATTGAAGCTATGCATCTTGAATATAAAGCACGTTTTCAGACTCTGAATTTTTTCCTTTTTCCCTAGGCTGATGCGGACAGTTTTTATATGGCATGCAACGGCCGCCAGTTCAACTCAATAGAAGATGATGTCTGCCAGCTGGTTTACGTGGAACGGGCTGAAGTACTGAAATCTGAAGATGTAAGTCTAAATAATCCTTACATTTAATATACGTATCAGAATGCTATGAAGTTGTTACTTCATCTACTAGTATTCTAGATCAATGAAACACTGCCTAGAGCCTCAGAGAAGTGTTTTTATTTTAAATATCAATCCTTAATCCTCGTCCTAATTTTTTTAAAAATATTTTTATTGATTTTAGAGAGAGAGGACTGCCGGCTGGGTTTCTGCTGCTTTTCTTCATTTGTATTCTGTTCTAATCATAGACCTTTTCAGTTAGAGTTAGGAGTCTGGTGATATTTTAGATTCTCTGTTAAGCGTTGGGGGCATCTCCCTTCCTAGAATGTCAGCTCTGTGAGGGCAGGGATCTTTGTCTGCTTTGTTCACCTCTGTATCCCCAGTGCCCGGCACAGTGCTAGGAAGATTGGAGGTGTTCAGTCAGTATTCGTTGCTTGAATGAAAACTTTATCAATTTAACTTATTTGCACAGATCAATAATGTTGAGAATATCCTTCCAGTTGTCAAAAGGAAAACTGTTGTTTCTAAAAAAATTAGAACTGGTGGGTAAAGAATGAGGCTTATGTGAGGTGTTTCACTCTAGGGTGCCAGCCTCCCTGTGATGGATCTGACCGAGCTCCCCAAGTGCACCGTGTGCCTGGAGCGCATGGATGAGTCCGTGAATGGCATCCTCACCACGTTATGTAACCACAGCTTCCACAGCCAGTGTCTGCAGCGCTGGGACGACACGACGTGAGTACAGGAGCAAGCTCATCTCTCACCCTGTTAAAGCCCACTCTTATCCTTTCCCAGAATTAAAATATATATATATGTTTTTATTGATTCCAGAGAAGGAAGAAGGAGAGAGAAATTGAAACATCAATGATGAGAGAGAATCATTGATTGGCTGCCTCCTGCAAGCCCCCTACTAGGGATTGAGCCCACAACCCAGGCATGTGTCCTTAACCAGAATCGAACCTGTGACCCTTCAGTCCACAGGCCTACACTCTATTCACTGAGCCAAACCGGATAGGGCAGCACAGACTTTTTCTGTGAGAAGAACTCTATGTTCTTCCTTCTGATTTCCTTTTGTTGGTTTTATTTATGCAGTTGGGTAACAAACTGATACTAATTGTTTCTTGAGCATTCTTTCTTCTTGTGCCAATTCAGTTAGCCGCAGTAATAATTCACTTTGTATCATCTTTGCCCATCTGACAAAAATATTAATGGCTAGTACTTAACTCAGTTGCTTTGTCTTGAGTATAATAGAAAAGAGTTAATGGATTTTTTCAGTGTCCCTTTTTTCAATTTTATTGAGGTATAATTGACAGAAATTATATATTTAAGGTGTATGACTTGATGACCCAATCTACGTATACCTTGTGAAATATTAAATATTCACCACAACCAAGCCAATTAACATAACCCATCACTCATACTTTTACCATACCATTTCTGTGTGTGTGTGTGTGTGTGTGTGTGTGTGTGTGTTACGAACACCGAATATATACCTCTTAGCAAATTTCAGGTACACAGTATAGTATTGTCAACTGTAGTCACATGATATAGACCAATTTTACAGACTTATTCATCTTACATGACTGAAATTTTGTATTCCTTGACATCTTCCTATTTATCTTTCTATTTTTCCATCCCCTGGGCCCTGGTCACCATCTTTCTACTTTATGTTTCTATGAGTTTGGCTTTACTGTCATTTTTTTGTCTTTTTTAAATATATTTTTATTGATTTCAGGAGGAAGGGAAAGGGAGAGAGAGAAACATCAGTAATGAGAGAGAATCATTGATTGGCTGCCTTCTGCACACCACACAATGGAGATCGAGCCTGCAACCGGGCATATGCCCTCGGCCAGAGTCAAACCTGGGACCCTTCAGTCCACAGGCCAAAGCTCTATTCATTGAGCCAAACCAGCTAGGGCTTCGCTGCCGTTTTTATTACAAAATTTCATTTTGTAAATTGAAAATTGAGAACTCAGAGCTGGTATCTTCTTCCACCGGTGTTCCTTATATGAGAAAGTGTCTTCTGCATTTCAGGAAGTACATTGACTGACTTTTTTTAATTTGGTGAAATTTAGTAGAATTTAGTTTCAACTCTTAAAAGCAACCTTAAGAGAACAGGATTCATTTTAAATAATTTAAATCTTTGCAAAGTGGGGATAAGGTAGATTATTTAAAGTAAAAATACTTAATGGGTAACCAGACATGAAAAAATTAATAACTTGTCTCAAGTCCCTAATTCTAACCCATTATTTAATTCTTTGATTATGTAAGTTTTGGATAGGAGAGTGGGAAAAGGTGTGGCAGATCAAGATTGCTCCCTTTCCTCTGCTTTATCAAGATTTTGTTTTTGTTTTTTTTATGTTTTTTGCAAATAGCTCAGAAGTGTGTTTTGAGTGCTATTTTTAGTTATGAAAAAATAAATTGGAGGGGTATTTAAAATTCAGTTTTTTACTGTTGGGTTATATAACAGCTGTTTTCTATTTAATCTGTATCATTATCTTTTGGTGTCCTGGATAGGTGCCCTGTTTGCCGGTACTGTCAAACGCCAGAGCCAGTAGAAGAAAATAAGTGTTTTGAATGTGGTGTTCAGGAAGTAAGTAATGAGTGGTGGGAACGAACAATGAACACCGCCTTAATGGTCTGGGGTTTTCTTCTGCCCTTCGAGGCTTGAAATACTGTTGTGAGACTTTTTGTCTAGTGTCAGGCAAGAAATATAACTATAAAAACTATTTGACACCTAAGCAAAATACTTTATAGTTTTATTTTTTGTTCTTTGAAAAAGCCTACACTTTTATTAAGTTATGAATTTTTTCCTTGCTGTTTGCATAGAGTTCCATTAAAATCAGAACAAAAAAATTGTTGACCCATAATGGCATCCTTACTTTTGGGTTTTAAACATATTTATTCATAGCTCCTATAGAAACAGCTCTAAATCTTATTCTGTGTCAGCCCTCTTCTTACCATGAGTCGGGCAGGTCATGTAAATTTTTTTCCATAGAAACGGCTTTTTGTTTTATTTTGTTTTTACATATATATATTTAATTGATTTTTTTACACAAAGTAAGGGGGAGGGATAGAGAGTTAGAAACATCGATGAGAGAGAATCATCGATCAGCTGCCTCCTGCACACCTCCTATTGGGGATGTGCCCGCAACCCCGTACATGCCCTTGACCGGAATCAAACCTGGGACCTTTCAGTCTGCAGGCCTACACTCTATTCACTGAGCCAAACCGGTTAGAGCAGAAACATAGGTTTATTTTGATAGAGACATGCTGAATACAAAGGGCTGAAATAAAAGTAATCCTTAACATAAAATAATAGAACATTTTAATAAAAATCAATATTTTTTCTTGAATATTAACTTGCCAGACACTGAATAATTGCACAAATTAATAAGCGTAACGCAAATAAACCTTTATTTCTTGTTTTCCAAAAGCGAAATATTTCCTGTTGTATACAGCAAACAACTTAGTATAAGACTAATGACGTGGCAATCACCTGCTAAAATATTTGCTGCTAGTATTAGTGGAGAGAAGGGAAATGAATGCAACATGATTATAGTAATCAATCCTTAGCAAATGTAGTTGGTTATTAATAATTATGTATAACAGGATATTGTAAAAATTAAGTTACAAAATTTTTTTATTAAAACGTTTCTTACCGTTATATTGGCTGGGCTGCAAAAATATTCGTTATGGGCGGAAAGTTTGACATGCTTGATGTATTGAAGAGCCTTATAGACTCAAGGTAAGGAGTCTGGAGTTGAAGTATAATGAGAAGGAAAGGGAGTTTTAGTTATTGTATTTGAAAGTTCAAACAGCGCTGACTATGTCCTTGGACTGCTCTAAGTGCTTTAGAGATATGCACGCATTTAATTATTTAACAAGCTTATGAGAATAGGTGACATTACCATCCCTATTTTACAGATAAGGAAACGGAGGCCCTCAGGGATTTCATGAAATCATTCCAGCTGCTTGGACATAGCAGACCCAGGACAAACTATCTAATCGATTTATTTTTAAAAAATATATATTTTATTGATTTTTATAGAGAGGAAGAGAGAGAGAGCTAGAAACGTCGATGAGAGAGAAACATCAACCAGCTGCCTCTTACACACCCCCTACCGGGGATATGCCCTTGACCAGAATCGAACCCGGGACCCTTCAGTTCGCAGACCGACGCTCTACCACTGAGCCAAACCGGTTTCGGCTAATCGATTTATTTTTAAAGTTCACTCTGGTTGCAATGTGGAGGACAAAATATAGGTGGGCAGGAATAGTCCAGGCCAGCAATCATGGGGGCTTAGACTCAGGTATGATGGTGGAAGAAGTGAGAATGGCTGGTGTCTTACTCTGTTCAGATTGCTGTAACAAAGTACAGTACTTTTGCTTCTACAAAATAAAGCTTCTAACAGCAGAGAGGTTATCTGTCATGTATTTTTAGATAATTAAAATCATACCTTCTTCTTGACAGAACCTTTGGATTTGTTTAATATGTGGCCACATAGGATGTGGACGGTATGTAAGTCGACATGCGTATAAGCACTTTGAGGAAACCCAGCACACATATGCCATGCAGCTCACCAACCATCGAGTCTGGGACTATGCTGGAGGTGAACACCACTCTCGTTCTCTAATTTGGGCTCATTCTGTATGAAAACTTCTCTGTCAGAATCTATTTTCTCTCACAGCTTGAAACCTTCCTGACAGCTGTGGCAAACTCAAGCCCTATTTCCTGTGACTGGCCTGAATTGCACCTTATAAAGAAAGTTAATATTTCCACTCTTGCCCTTCACTCTTTTTTAAATTCAAATGCTTTTGCTCACTTTTATTTTTTTTATTTTTTAAATATATTTTTATTGATTTCAGATAGGAAGGGAGAGAGAGAGAGAAACATCAATAATGAGAGAGAATCATTGATTGGCTGCTTCCTGCACACCTCCCACTGGGAATTGAGCCCACAACCCAGGCATGTACCCTTGGACCGTAGTCAAACCTGGGACCCTTCAGTCCGCAGGCTGACGTTCTATCCACTGAGCCAAACCAGCTAGGGCTAGTTCACTTTTATTTATTTATTTACTTATTTATATTATTATTATTTGTTAGGATTAGCTCACTTTTAAAGAAATACTGCAATTTAGATCTGTGAAAACAAAAATTTTGTCAGTTAAAATAGTAAGGAGACCCTTTTCATTCTGAGAGAAACATAACTTGGTTGACTCATTCTTTTCTTTAGATAATTATGTCCACCGACTGGTTGCAAGTAAAACAGATGGAAAAATAGTACAGTATGAATGTGAGGGTGATACTTGCCAGGAAGAGAAAATAGATGCCTTGCAGTTAGAGGTAAGATGTTATTAGTAATTACTAAATAGCTTTGTACTATTCTAACTTGACAGGTGTTTTAAGTTTTTAATTTTACCATTTACTCTGCATGTCAACTTTTTTTTTAAAGTTCTATTTCTGCTATAAATTATTATTAATATATTTTTATTCTGATTTTCTTCTCTGAAAGTCTTAAGTTTCACTGTGCCTTATTTTCAGTGTGTTGTTCTGAGTTGTCTCAAGTTTGAGTATTAAGGTTGTCCTCTGTACTGCTCTAAAACTGGAAGTTAAGAATCTTCCTGTTGGCATTATAGTAACAGTTGGAAATTGAGCAGACTTGGTCAGAATGAGGAAACCTCAATAGTATCTTTCCAAGGAGCTTTTCCCTATATATTGGGCTGGCATTTTATGAATTTGATGCTTATATACATAAAGCCATTTTGGGTACTCATTTATTTGAAGAAACAACAAAATGAGCACAGTCTATGTTTTCTCCATACTACTAAATCCCATCTATTATAAAATTGATGTCACTTGCATTTTATGTTAATGAAGAAGTTTAACATATGTCCTATTTGATATAAATTTCAAAATAATTGTTTTAAAAACAAATACCTTAATTTTGGGAGGAAATGGATATTTAAAAACTTGCTCTGATAGGTCAGTATAATGGCCTAAAATAAGGATAATATTATTACCATTAATAAATTATATTGAAAAAAATTATATGGATACTAGAGGCCTGGTGCATGAAATTCGTGCACTTGGTGGGGGGTGGATCCCTCAGCTCGGCCTGTGTACTTTCGCAGTCTGGGAGCCACCGCTGTTCTCACCAGCTATGAGCCCAGCTTCTGGCTGAGCAGCACTCCCTTTGTGGGAGCACACTGACCACCAGGGAGAAGCTCCTGTGTTGAGGATCTGCCCCCTGGTGGTCAGTGCATGTCATAGTGACCAGTCGTTCCACTGGCAACCCAAAACTGGCTCTCCGACATCCCCCGAGGAGTCCCAGATTGTGAGAGAGTACAAGCTAGGCCGAGGGACCCCATTGGTGCACGATTGGGGCTGGGGAGGGATTGTGGGAGGGCTATAGGGCGTGTCTGGCCTGTCTTCCTCAGTCCTGATTGGCCAGTCCCAGCAGCAAGATAACCAACTGGTTGGAGCATCTGCCCCCTGGTGGTCATGCATGTCATAGCTAGCAGTTGAACAGCCTTAACGTCATTAGCATATTAAGCTTTGATTGGTTGAATGGCCAACTGGATGACCAACACTTAGCATATTAGGCTTTTATTATATAGGATATCATAGAATCTTTTACATTAAGTTTTTAGAATGAGTAACTCTTCCATAATAGTTAATATTTGTATGTCATTCAATGAATATTCATTGAGGGTTGCTGTCTATCAGCTAGTCCTCCTGGTGGTGGGAATGCAGCATTAAACAAACTCCCTGCTCTTTTGGAGTGTATATTCTGGTGTCACACACACACACATTCTCCCAATTGTCCTTTCCCTCTGTTGCTCTTTCAGTCTCTTCTCTAGAATATGATTAGATCTCTGCTAGTCTCCTAGAATAGTCTTTCCAAAATGCAGGTGTGATCTGACCAAGCCGTGGCCCACATTCTCAGTGTGATACCCCAGAGCCTTCCATAGATCCCCAACTCTCCATACCCTACACCCCAGCCTTATTGGTACTACTTCGCCTCTAAAGAGACCTAAGCATCACAGCTCACATCAAGGTTCAGTAGTTCTCCGGAACCATACCTCTCTCTTTTCTCCTCTTCCTATCTGTTAAGAGCCCTCTCAAATCTCTTTCTTTCAGAAGTCCTACTATATCCTGCTGTCAGAAGCCATCTATCCTTTCCCTGCAGTTATCCAGCATTGTTCATTCATCCATGTAGTCAGGCAGCAAATGTTTCTTAACATCCAGCATGTGCCAGGCACTGAGGATATAGAAATAAGATAGAACTTTTGCTTTCAAAGACGCCAGGCAGAAAAAACAATAATTAAGTGCTAGTGTTATAAATGCTAATATTGATAGGCATAGTGCTGTGGGAACTGAGAAAGAGCGCACATAACCAAAGGCTGAGAGGGATGGGGTAGGTAGATAACCTGGTTTGAGTTACACTTTGATTTAAAAACCATGTAGTTTTTTTTAAATTATTTTTTATTTATTTCAGAGAGGTAGGAGAGGGAGGGAGAAACATCAATGGATGAGAGAGAATCATCGATTGGCTGACTCCTGCTAGCCCCCTACTGGGGATTGACCCTGAAACCCAGGCATGTGCCTTTGACCAGAATTGAACCCAGGACCTTTCAGTCTGCAGGCCTACACTCTACCCACTGAGCACACCCGGCTAGGGCACCATGTGGTTCTTCTTAAAGTCACTTTGAACAGGAACTTATGTTTTTTTACTGTACATTTTCCTATTTGTCCCTGACTAGATTGTAAGCCCCAGGAGGTCAGGAGTATAATTGTGGTTTAGTGAGTAGAGTAGAATAGAACCAAGATGTAATATATATTTGATGGCTACTCTTACTCTTCTGTAGGTCATTAAAAGTAAAGTTTTAATTGGGTTTCAGAGACTGATAACCATGACTTACGTTTTGTTGTTTTTATTTCCAGTATTCCTATTTACTAACAAGCCAGCTGGAATCACAGCGAATCTACTGGGAAAACAAGATAGTTCGGATAGAGAAGGACACAGCAGAAGAAGTAAGTTTCCGGTTTAGTGACTGATGAAGTGCCACGTGGCGTGGGCAATCTGATGTTGGTTTGGGAAAAGGCAGAGTACAGAGACAAAGGAATCATTGAACCTTTCTTCTTAGTCTGGTAGACAGGTAAAGAACTGTTCTGCCTCTAAAAAGAAACCTTTGTTCTATGTATGTCAGTTATATTGCACTAAAGCTGGAGTTAGTGGAAAGAAGAAAACAATTTGGAATCATTTGGCTCACCTTAATAACCTAAGGTGAGGATTCCAGAGAGAAGTGGTAAACACCTGAGTTTTCATTATATTAGAGATTTAGCCTATGAAGGCACTATTGTGGGACAAGCTAGACCACAATGAGAATGAAATTAGTCAAAAAGGAAAAGGAAGAGAAAAAAATGCAAATGCAGTCAATAAGGGAGAGAAGCAGACATGAATTCTCATCTAAGATTACTAAATCAAATCAAAAGAATATATTAAAATCTTATTGTATGCTGAGCTCTATAGCAAACTAAGTTAAGGAAGAAATAAAATACTTAGCATGTATCTTAAAAAAAAAAGAGAGAGAGGAAAATAGAAACTTTGCATTTAAAAGCTTTAAATTTGGGGGTTTGGGGTTTTGTTTATTTGCTAAGTCCAATAAAGTTTTCTAGTACTTTGTGTAATTCTATTTAAAAAATAGAAGTATATACATGAGGATTTGTAATTTGAGTCAGCCAGTTGGTTTGTGAACTTGGGAACAGCTGCTTTGGGGAGCTGAACATGGGCCTCTGAGCTACAAGATTATTCTCTAAGCTGGTGGGAACAAAATTGGGGAGAAATGCTAGAACTTCATTGGTCACCATATTTTCGTATTGGTCTAGGGCAGTGATTTTCCACCAGTGTTCCATTGCACATCAGTGTGAATTTTTAAAACATGGAATACCTATTTAGTCTAAGGCATGGACCTCTTTTCCCTTAGATTGTCAAATTAAAAAATGACAACAGCCAATACAACAATAGCTGCCAGGTGTGAATGAATCAAAATGTGTGTTTGTGTGTGTGTGTGTGTGTGTGTGTGTGTATATATATATATATATATATATATATATATATATACTCACACACACATACATATTCTTTTTTTTGGTCAGATCACAAAGCATACATTTTTTGATGTGCTGCAGAATTTTTGTAACTAGTTTATGTGTGCCATGAAATGAAAAAGGTTAAAAATTGCTGGTCTCAGGCATTGTCTTCAGATTTTAACAAAAATGCCATTTTTAAAAAGATGCCACTCACTACAACATTTAAAAGAGAAAAGTGGTATGATTTGGGTTGAAACATAGATGTGGGGCCCAAACCTCCACCTACCTGTTTTTCCTTTTGTCTCTGGCATGTACAAGGAGTCCATAGGGTTCCAAAGAAGGAGTTTGAAAACCAGTGAGCACTGTAGGATTCATGTATAATTAGGACAGTGTTCTTTTTTTTTTTTTTTTTTTTTTTTTTTTTTTTTTTTTTTTTTTTTTTAACATATTTTATTGATTTTGTACAGAGAGGAAGGGAGAGAGATAGAGAGTCAGAAACATCGATGAGAGAGAGAGTCATCGATCAGCTGCCTCTTGCACACCCCCCACCGGGGATATGCCCGCAACCAAGGCACATGCCCTTGACCGGAATCGAACCCGGGACCTTTCAGTCCCCAAGCCGACGCTCTATCCATTGAGCCAAACCGGTCTCGGCTAGGACAGTGTTCTTAATTCATCGATTCCCTTAGTATTAAATACAGGTTTTGAGATTTTTTAAAATGATAGTCTTAATAATTTTGTGAATCCTCACCAGTAACTCAGCCTTCAGATGAAGAATACAGAGCGAGGCTTGGGGCTCACCTCTGAGTAGGATTATCCTGGAGCTTAGCAGGCAGGGCTGAGCTCTCACTTTATGCCAGGCCCAGGGGCCCTGGTTTCCGGGTATGCCTATAAATGAGGAGAAACTGGGGTTTTTTAGATTTTTTTAAAATATTTTTTTATTGGTTTTTCACAGAGAGGAAGGGAGAGTGATATAGAGCTAGAAACATCGATGAGAGAGATACATCGACCAGCTGCCCTCTGCACATCCCCCACTGGGGATGCGCCCGCAACCAATGTACATGCCCTTGACCTGAATCGAACCTGGGACCTTTCAGTCCGCAGGCCGACGCTCTATCCACTGAGCCAAACCGGTTTTTAAACATAAGGCTTAACACCAACTTTAAAATGATGTTTAGTTCAAAGTTCTGGATGAAATTCTTTTTAAGACCATTCCAAGGAATGGAAATGCCTTTCCAGAGGCACTCAAGTTCTGAATAGGGCTTGATTGGTGCATGGCGGAAGGACACTCCTCTGACAGCACTCAGGAGAAAGTTGCTGCCACTTGATGTCAAGTTCTGGCCTTACAGGGAGGAGACTGGCAACCTGAGCAGCCTCACTAATGGGTTTTTCCACGGGCTATCCCAGCGTGACCATGGAGTGCTTCATGCAGACCCTTAAGAGCTAAGCTCAGGCTTCTTTGCCTTTTAAGATTCTTTAGGATTAACTGCATTCTCTGACACATGCCCATGAAAAGTCCAGGGACAGGGGAGCTAGAAACTGTGAAACTTGTGTTTCCATTTAGGAAGGGGTAATACGGAGGCCCTAAAGGAAAAGCTTGAAGGGCTTGAAGAGAATGCTTTGTTTTCTCATAACAAATGTTGCTTATTCATAAGGTAATGGATGGTGCAAGCCTTTTGTTCCTGCCCCTGTCCTCCTTTTGACCAATCTTCTGTCCACTGGCACTTCCAGCTGCGCAAGGATTAACAGTAACCGACGTGGATCTCACTGACAGAGATTCTTGTTCATGGGCCTCATAGAAAGGGGGAGGGGAAAGGTGAAGGTTGGAATTGATTGTGAACTTCAATTATAATAACTATTCCTGTCCCCCAATGCCTTAGGTAGTTGTTATAGCATGTCAGCAGTCTGTTCTAAAAACTGAAGCTCTTACCCACTGGAAGGTTCTTAGTTTTAACGTGGCCACATATGAAGAACACAGGTACCGTCAGGACAGGTGAATTCCCCTCAAGTTACCGCTCTTCTCTCTGAACCTCATGTTCTCAAACAGTTTTTCTCTAGCTGTGGACTGGGAAATGAGTTTGGTGGACCACAACTGGCATTTTTATTAAATAGAATATGATAGGCGTAAAACATCAGCATGCATCACATTTAATACTGTTTTCTGAAACTCCCATTTCAGTTGTATGTGTCTTTTTTATGTTCCTGGGTGTTTTTTACTTTGAGCTAATGGTCAGAAATGTTTTAAAAAGCACTAGTTTAGCCCATTGTAACATCATCTATAGCAGTATTAGAAAGCTTGGTGTTGCTTGATATTTTTCATTTTGATTTAAATGTGTTTGGCCTAAGTCTCTTTAGTAACCAAAACATTACAATTTGATTTCATTTCTGTCCTTTTCAATTCTCCTAAATTAACAGGAACCAGTTTAGGAGAAAATGTCAAAGGATCCTAGTGGTCTTTTATGTTAAAGCAATATTGAGGAGAAAATGAATACCAAACTAGAATTAAAGCAATTTTAATTTTTATGACATAGAAAAACTGTCAGAAATCTCCCTTTAATTGCATACTTTTATAACTTAATGATAGTTGGCTATAAAGTTAATTTCTCCAAAGCAGTTATTTTCATATTACTCAAAAAGGGGGACAGCCCTAGCCAGTTTGGCTCAGTGGATAGAGTGTTGGCCTGCAGATTGAAGGGTCCCAGGTGTGATTCTGGTCAAAGGTACATGCCTAGGTTGTGACCATGATTCCCAGAAGGGGCATGCAGAAAGCTAATCAGTGATTCTTATCATTGATGTTTCTATCACTCTGTCGCTTCTTCTCTAAAATAAATTTTTTTTTATTAAATATATTTTATTGATTTTTTACAGAGAGTAGGAGAGAGTGATAGAGAGCTAGAAACATCAATGAGAGAGAAACATCGACCAGCTGCCTCTTGCACACCCCCTACTGGGGATGTGCCCGCAACCAAAGTACATGCCCTTGACCGGAATCGAACCTGGGACCTTTCAGTCCACAGACTGACGCTCTACCACTGAGCCAAACCGGTTTCGGCTCTAAAATAAATTTTAAAATATTTTTACAAAGGGGAAGGGGGGAGGAGAGGCAATGCTTTTAGAGACCTGTTAGGCAAGCCATATGGCAAGTGTTTCAAAAGTAAGTGTTAAAAGCAATGGCCCTTTTTCCTGGATCTCTGCTGAGTTTAGAACTCACCGGGAGGTCACTTTTCCTTTGCTATAGAGAGGTTTAGAACTTGGCTTTGGACCCAGGCTTGGGGTCCAGTTCTGGACCCACCACACTTTATAGCTGGGTAAACCTTGGTTGTATTACCTTACAGTCCTGAAAGCCTCCATTTCTGTAAAAAGTTGACATACATGATCATAGGTGTATTATAAAGAGATACTACTTATAAAACACCTAGCAGGTGCCTGAGCCATAGGATTTAAATTCTCAGTTACTTTCAGGTCCTATGACTGTTGCCTCACGATTCACCCAGCCTCACTACTTCCCCTTCCACCTAATCTTCTCGTGTTGTTAGACGAGTAGAGTTGAGGCATTTCCCAAATCTTCACAACTGAGTGAATCTAGTCTCTTAGGTAGACTTCAGTAGACTCAGCTAGGATTGCTGCCATCTGACATAAAATGGCAGAGTTTTTCTTTTCTCATAAGTTTTTAAGTTTTATTTATTTATATAAATATATATGTGTGTGTATATATATATATATATATATATATATATATATATATAACTGATTTTTTACAGAAAGAGAGAGAGAAGGAGAGAGTTAGAAACACCAATGAGAGCCGAAACCGGTTTGGCTCAGCGGTAGAGTGTCAGTCTTCGGACTGAAAGGTCCCAGGTTCGATTCCAGTCAAGGGCATGTACATTGGTTGCGGGCACATCCCCGGTAAGGGGTGTGCAAAAGGCAGCTGGTTGATGTTTCTCTCTCATCTACGTTTCTAGCTCTATCCTTCTCCCTTCCTCTTTGTAAGAAAAATCAATAAAATATATTAAAAAAAAAAAAAAGAAGAAGAAAAGAAACACCAATGAGAGAGAAACATTCATCAGCTGCCTCCCACATGCTCCCCCCCTGGGGATGTGCTTGCAATCAAGGTACATGCCTTTGACTGGAATCTAATCTGGGACCCTTCAGCCCGCAGGCCAACGCTCTGTCCACTGAGCCAAACCAGTTAGGACTTTCATAAGTTTTTAAGACAATGTAATATGAATTAATTCCGTATATATTGTCTTTTATAAATTAACTCAAACAAGAACTGATGAACCTGGTTTGGCTCAGTGGATAGAGTGTCAGCCTGCAGACTAGGGGGTCCTGGATTTGATTCCAGTCAGGAGCATGTACCTTGGTTGCGGGCACATCCCGATTGGGGGTGTGTATGAGGCAGCTGATCAATGTTTTTCTCTCATCAATGTTTCTAACTCTCTATCCCTCTTCCTTCTTCTCTGTAAAAAATCAATAAAATATATTAAAAACAAAACAAAAACAAACAAGAACTAATTCATATGGCTTTATGGTACATGAGAAATTTAATAGTGAGTTGGAGTGATGAACCCCAAACAGAATCAGTTATCACATCGTTGATAGGTTAGATGAGTTGCTTGGATTATTTGGATAATAGTTTTGGGAATGTAATCTCAGGAGGAGAAAAACGATGGTGAGTTGATCATGGGAGGGGAGGCTTCGTTCCAGTGTCTCTGACAAACCATCTCCTGCTCTATTGCATGGAACTCTTCTTTTACTTCTGAGCAGTTTCACTTGACTCTAGCAGCCCCTGATCCTTTGTTCATCCTGGTATGGAAAAATAGTAAAAAAAAAAAAAAAAGAATTTTTCAAATATTTTATTCCTATATCAGGAATTCTTTAAAATTATTATATCACCTTTTCTAAAATTGGCTTGTCCACGTTATACACAGGTAATTGGAAAAAATGTTTTTGAGAAATTAGCTTCAATGCCACATAATTTTGTCTTTCTGAAATGAAACTGATCTATTTGCTTTTTCAGATTAACAATATGAAGACCAAATTTAAAGAAACAATTGAGAAATGTGATAATCTGGAGCACAGACTAAATGACCTTCTAAAAGAAAAGCAATCTATGGAAAGAAAGTAGGTATAATTGGTCTGTTTTTTTAAAGGAGGCATTTTATTGAAACAGGCAACAAAAACAGAACTTCCTTCACTCCTAAGGAAATACTCATTTTCAAGTGTGTCACCAGGTTTTCAGAAGTCTGCCTATATGTAGAGCAAACTTTCTGTGACTTCCCATTTATTAAAATCATGGTGTTTCTTGCCATATGGAGTGGTAGGGAATGCAGTGTTCTGATATCTGTATGTGCAAATATCTTCCACATTTTCCTGTAGAAAGTGATTTCCTTGTGCCCAGACCCGTAGCTTCTCTGAGCCATGGTGGCTGAGAAATGATAGGAAAGAGACCCTGTCTAAACTGGAGATGGCATGTGTTCTGCCCTTTTTGGAATTCAAAAAGATGTTGAATACGGAGCAAAAAACTCATGAACAGCATGGCAAGACCATCACTCTTCCCCTACTTTGTGGGAAGATGGTTATTGCTGATTGAAATTCCTTTTTGGTCTATGTTATACTAAAAAAACAAAAAAACACTGGATTTTTACCTCCAGACAAATGGATTAAAAAAATGTAAGGAGGATAATTGTTCCTTAAAAAGTTTTTTAATAGACCTTTTATCTTGGAGTAAGCATATTTACAGAGGTTATAAGGTAGCATAGAGTGCCTGTATACCCTTCACAAATTCACCCATTGTCAAAAGTTGCATTTTTAAAAATATTTTTTTGTGTGTGTGGTAAAGATCTAAATAACAAAAAACTTTTTACCATTTTTAAGTGTACAGTGGCATTAAGTACTTCATAATCTGTACAACGGGTCACCACCATCTGTTTCCAGATGTTTTCATCACCACAAACAGAAACTCTTCACCAAAGGTTAAAAAAAAAAAAAAAAAAAACCAAAACCGGTTTTGGTCAGTGGATAGAGCGTCGGCCTGAGGACTGACGGGTCTCGGGTTCGATTTTAGTCAAGGCCATGCACCTTGGTTGCAGGCACATCTCCAGTAAGGGGCGTGCAGGAGGCAGCTAATCGATGTTTCTCTCTCATCAATGTTTCTAGCTCTAATCAATCAAATATAGTTAAAAAGAAAAAGTGAAAAAAATCAATCAAATATAGTTTAAAAAGAAAAAGTGAAAACTGGGGGGGTTTTTCTAGATCCCAATATTTGGAAGTAACCATTATTAACAGTACCAGTAAATATTTACTCTTACAGATCTTCTGCTCTACCTATATAAATATCTCACATACACAGTCTTTTTTCTACACAATTAGAATAATACTACGTATTCTATTTGGTAAAATTCTCTGATTTGGAGATTTTTTTCATGCTGGCACGTTTAGCTCTATCATTATCTTTGTAATTGCTGTGTAGTATTCCATTGTGTGTAGGTCCCATAATAATTTTTTAAAATATATTTCTATTGATTTCAGTGAGGAAGTGAGAGGAGGAGAGAGAGAGAAAAACATCAATGATAAGAGAGAATCATCCATCAGCTGCCTCTTGCACACCCCCTACTGGGGATTGAACCCGCAACCTGGGCATGTGCCCTTGACCAAAATCAAACCTGGGACCCTTCAGTCCTCAAGCCATTGTTCTATCCACTGAGCCAAACTGGCTAAGGCAAAGTTTTTGTAATCTTCACCGGAGGATATATTTTTATTGATTTTTAGAGAGGGTAGAAAAAAAGACGGAAAGGCAGAGAGAAACATCAATTGGTTGCCTCCTGCACAAGCCAGGTTCTGGTTGGGAGCCTGACACCAAGCAAGGTACATGCCCTTGATCGAATTTGAACTCGGGACCCTTTGGTCTGAAGGCTTGCTCTATCCACTGAGCCAAACCAACTAAGGCGGTCCCATAATAATTTCAGGCAGTTCCCATTGATGGACATGTAAGTTGTCTCAAGTCTTCCACTATTGTAAATAACATGGCGATAATCGTCTTTCTCCGTGTGTCTTTCAGCGCATTCCTGAGTGCCAGTGTATCTATTTTACAGGATAAGTTCCTAAAAGTAGAGTAGCTGTGTCAAAGGACCATGTGAAGTTCCGACTTTCTAGTTAGCTCAAAGTTAACTCTGAGAGTTTGTACCAGTTCCCACTTCAGTGCCATGTGTAGGAGTGCCTCTTCCCATGTGTGTGAGCTCTTTGGCATTCTGATACATAAAAATGGTGTTTAAATTTGTAGTTCTTTACTTATGAGTAGTAAATGCAGTGATGTCAGAATGCAATTTTTCCTCATAACTTCTTTATCACCATTGTCCTCTCTGACCACCTATTTAACCACTACTGCAAAGCAAGAGAAGCAGAAGTTTTACCATGAACCATGAAACACAGAATAGTTTCTGCTATGGAAAAATTTCTATGCTTAAAAATGAAATATTGTCTTAAAGCTACATTTGTGTTGTAAGCAGTGCAGAATTCTTTGTGTAGCTGCTGCAGTGGTAGCAAACCAGTCCCCCTGAACAGGTAGGGCAGAGTTCACCCTAAATGAATCTGAGATCACGGCTCCTCTGTTCAAGCCCAAAGTAGATAAAGGACTGTGTCAGCAAATGAAAAATGTGCTTTTGTCTTCCTTTGTTTTATAAAAGGTGCACTCAGCTAAACACAAAAGTAGCCAAACTCACCACGGAGCTCAAAGAGGAGCAGGAAATGAACAAGTGTTTGCGAGCCAATCAGGTCCTCCTGCAGAACAAGCTGAAGGAGGAAGAGAGGGTTTTGAAGGAGACCTGTGACAAGAAGGATCTGCAGATCACCGAGATCCAGGAGCAGCTGCGTGATGTCATGTTCTACCTGGAGGCACAGCAGAAGATCAACCACCTGCCTGCTGAGACCCGGCAGGAAATCCAAGAGGGGCAGATCAACATTGCCATGGCCTCTGCCTCAAGCTCTGCCTCTTCCGGGGGCAGTGGGAAGCTGCCCTCCAGGAAGAGCCGCAGCAAGCGGGGCAAGTGACCTTTGCAGAAACAGGTGTCCCTGAGACTTCCCTGGCCCAGCGAGGGTGTGCGGGGCCCAAATGTGAGGGTGGGCCCAAAATAAGTACAAGTGAGGATCAAGCTGCAGTTGTTTGGATCTTTCATTTGCTAGTGTTTGGTGTACTGAATGTAGAGGGTTGACAACTAGGAGAACTGATGGAAAGGGGAATGTTTTAAATGGTGGCTGCTTTTTTTCAACCTAATAGTTCACTAACCTCAGACATTCTAATGACCATTTTGCCTTCCTTCTTGATAGATGCCCCAAATCTGCTGTGCATTTTTCTGTTTTATTTATTGAGTTGGTGTTTTTGACATTCAGTTATGGGGTCAGTGGGTAACATTCCTTGTCCTGAAGCACCAAACCTCCCTGAGGCCATAGAAGCTGCCTTAGGGAGAGGTTTGCCTTGGCTACTGAGGGTTTATGGAGATTCCGGAGCATTAGTCTCATATCATTGTCATCCCTCCCTCCCTCTAGGGAATTGAAGAACTGGTTGAATGTTATATGAAAAGAGGCTGGGCCTGTAAACCAGGCACTGGCTTGTCTCCAGCAGCCATATCTTCTTGCTCTAGGGCTGGCCAGGAAAAACAACCACGGGGCAGACTGAGGAGAACCAGTGTAGGAAAAATGGTGGTGTTTCCACTTTGTTTATTTTTTCTTCCTTTTTTTTTTTTCCCCTCCCCCCAGAAAGGAAGGGAGAGAGAGAGAGAGAGAGAGAGAGAGAGAGAGAGAGAGAGAGAGAGAGAGAGAAACATCAACGATGAGAGGGAATCACTGGTTGGTTGCCTCCTGCACACCCCTTAACGGGATTTAGCCCGCAACCCGGGCTTGTGCCCTTGGCCGGAATCAAACCCAAGATTTTTCAATCCGCAGGCCAACACTCTATCCGCTGAGCCAAACCAGGTAGGGAAACTTTGTTTATTTTTTATGATTCTACACCTCCCCATGAACCTCAAAGGAGGAAACTTAATGGTGACTCTTAAGAATCAAATCTCAGAGTGAATTTCCTTGCCTCTAGCAAGAATGAGCAGGCAGATTTACCATCCATGTGAAAATGTAGAGTGAGGCCTCTGACTAGCTGATTGTGTATTTTTTGAATGTTTACAAAAAATTGGGCTGCATGTTCAGGTTGTGGCTAGAGGGAGCTTGGGCAGATTTTCAATTATGCTTTCAAGCTGTAACCAAAGGGTGTTTCTAAATCCAAAAATTAGAATTTTAACAGAGCCCCCTTTAAAACAGTCATGTAATGCTTGCTGTAGGCCAACAGAGGGGCTGTGTACTTTCTCTAAAAAACATAAACACCAAATAATTCGTAATAAGCAGTAATGAGCAAAATTAAAATAAGAGCTGTTGGAATTTAGCTTCCAAAAGTGGTAAGTTGGATAGGTTAACAAGACATATTGTTACACGATGAGTTTGTTTTCTGCCTTATAATTGGCCAAAGTTCAAATGATCACATTTCAGAATTTTTTAGCCAGCCTATGGTTAGGCCTCATCCCCTTTGACCTAAATGTCTTACAAGTTATTTGTTAGCACACCAGCTGTTTCGCTGATCACCATCCATTGTTGTGGGATGTGCTGCAGCATTTCCCAAAGAACCTTACCCGTAACTTTGCAAAATGAATGTACTCAGACATTCTCAATTTTACGTAGGGCAGACCGACTTTGAGTCCTCTTCGGACTTAGCAGATGTCTCAGATATCTTAGAGCAACTGTGGGAATGTAAAACATAACCTAATTCTCTTTCCTATAGAGATTCTATTTTATTTAAAATCTATTTTTACACTAGTTAGAATCCTGCTTTTTTGGTCAAGTACTTGTCTTGCATGTCTGACCTTGCAGAAGCTGGGGTGGATGGTAGCATACTAATGAAGAGAATTACAAGTGCTTTCCAAAGCTCGCACACTCCTCGTTTCTCTGTGATCACCTCTGTCAAGCAGCTCTGCCACCAGCTGGGAAATGCGGTTTTCTGCACGGGTGGGAGAAATGTTCTGAAAGCCTGTGCCCGGAGAAATGAGCGAATAGGCAAATGTTTCCAAACTCCTGGAAGGTTTCTAAAAAACGTTGCTGAAAATACAAATCTTACTAAGATATGGAAAGAAAATGTTTTCTAAAAACCTGTTTGAATTTGACAAAATTACATCCGATAGACGCCGTCAGTGTTTTCTTCGGGGTGGAATGAACCACTTAACATATCCATCCTACCTTGAACAATGACATTGCATTAAAGTAACCAAACTTGGAAATGATTCTGTTTCATGTGAAATTTGTGTGTCTCCTATTGACATTTGCTTGGGAATTTATATCTAAATAATGTAAGAAAGTGTCAAAAAAAAAAAAAAGTGTCAGTGGCCTGGATTTTAATCTTGCAACAATATAGTGAGCAGCTATAGATTATTTTCATTTTTCTGCCCCTTTGCTCCAACTTTCCTAACTAACAATAAGTACCTGCACAGACACAGGAATGGAAAAATTACTTTAATTTGGAGGCTCGGAGTAGGAGCATCCCCAAGGCACAACCCTTGCAAACCAAAAGCAATGAATTTATACACCTAAGACTTTTTCCTAGGTCCGACATCATGCTGAGATAGTTTTATTTTTGGAAACGTTCACAAAATAGGTCTTCCTGGGATACACTGGTAAGATAAAGCACTGAGGCAGCGACCCCCTCCTTGCTTGCACAGTGGAAGTATCCTCATCAAAAGGGCTGAGAAACTCCTAAACAGGCAGCCAGCAGAGTGTGGAGAACTTGGCAGATCACAAATGAACGACCGTCTGTCATCACTTGGAAATCCCTCTCCTAGTGCAGTTGGGATCCACAAGCTACAAATACTACCTGTAAGATTTGGCTGCTTACCACTGATGCCACACTGCCTGTGATGAAGTCCACGGGCTTATCTAAAAAAGGGAAAGCCACTCACAACATTTGAGGGAAGTTACTTTATTTTCTCCAGGATAAAACGGAATTAACTGTCAGGTGATTCTGCTCCGGTACTACTATCTTGGCAGCAGAAGGCATTTCTCAGGCGTCTCCAGCCCTGCCTCCTGCTCCCTCACGGCGCTGAGGGACAATTAAACCACTCACAGACATCGCCTTTGGCAAGTTCAGGAAGCCACCAAGTAAGTGTTCCCTGGCAGGCCTCCGCGCTGGCCAGACTTCATTCTTGCCTGCGAAAATTTCTGAAACGGGAATCCCAGAATATCTACCTAGTGGCCTCACCAACAGATGGAGCTTTGAAAGTTAAAAGTTTAAATGACAGGAAAGAGCAAAGCGGTAATAGGGAGAAAAGCCTTTCCCTTCAGGAACCCCGAGTTTTATCCCAGAGCCAAAGCCAACTGTGTCCTCTTCCCCCAAATGCTATACTGCAGTCAGCTTGGAGCAAATGAAAAAACAGTCTTTGGATTTGTGTTTGGGGGACTTCAGGGGAAGTTGTATAAGGCTTCCTTTAAGTTTTTTATTTATGGGAGGGGTTGTGGCCTGTTTATTCTGGCTAATCTCGTAATCTTTCCTTTATATGCTCTTCATTTTTTTTAGAATTAATGGTAACCCTTTACCACTTAATGCTAACCCTGTTTACCTTGCATCCCTGAAACTCGCATGCCCACCCCGGAATGCTCAGACACTTTTATCAATAATGGGCTCCATCACCGAAACCAGTTTGGCTCAGTGGATAGAGCTTCGGCCTGCAGACTGAAAGGTCCTGGGTTCGATTCCGGTCAAAGGCATGTACCTTGGTTGTGGGTGCATCCCCAGTGGGGGTTGTGCACAAGAGGCAGCTGATTGATGATTCTCTCTCATCCATGTTTTTAACTCTATCCCCCTCTCTTTCTCTCCGTAAAAAAATCAATAAAAATATATTTTAAAAAAATAATAAAAATAATGGGCTCCATCAAACATTAATTTTGGAAGCTGTCATTACAGGAGCCAAAACTATTTCAGATTCATTTTCTCTAGAACACGTTTCGAGCAGCCTCTTACTGTAATTCTGGAAGCTTAGGAGAGAGTGAAAGGGGCCCTGTATTGGTTCTTAATCTGGGTTTTGCATTCTTGCTGCGGTAAAGGCCAGGGAGAGATGAACAGTCCGCTGTTTTACACAACATGACTGTGGTCCTTGGGGCCTAATGTCGAATTGCTTCGGGTCAGAGACTTCTCACTGGAATCATCTGGAAAATGTGGTTTGGTACTTGGCACGGGCTGCACTGGTGCAGATAACATGCCTGACTCCAAGGCCAATTACCAAGCGCTCTAAGTGAGCTAAAGCTGCTTTGCTCTTTTGCAGGCCAAGTTCTAAATCCCCTGACCTGCGACTCCTTTCAGACTCAGCCCCTCAAAGTAAATGCAGAGAGTTTGTCCAGTGAGTGAAGCCAGTCAGAGTGTGAAATCACCTGCGAGGTCTTGGAGCATGAAGGTTTATGATCCCCAGGATAAATCTACCCTAGCACACGCCTGGTGGTGCATTCTTTCCACAAGATAACCCTATAGCGCTGCACATAAATGGTGAATAGGGAAAAACAGTTCTGACTTGGCCTCCACATGTTTTGTCTTGTTTTTTAAATATATTTATATTGATTTCAGAGGGGGGGAAGAGAGAGACACATTAATGATGAGGATCATTGATCAGTTGCCTTCTGCACACCCCCTACTGGGGACCGAGCCCTGACCGGGACTCGAACCCTGACTGATTCATAGGTCAATGCTTACCCATTGAGCCACACCAGCTGGGCAGCCTCCATGTTTTTTGCCATTTTTGGCCGCAAGTAACAGCAAGTCCTAGAACAAATCTTGTACTTTTGTTCCTCATTTAAAAAGGAAGAGACCTTGCCGAAACCCGTTTGGCTCAGCGGATAGAGCATCGGCCTGTGGACTGAAGGGACCCAGGCTCAATTCCGATCAAGGTACCTTGGTTGCGGGCACATCCCCAGTGGGGGGTTGCAGGAGGCAGCTAATCGATGTTTCTCTCTCATCAATGTTTCTAACTATCCCTCTCCCTTCCTCTCTGTAAAAAAAAAAAATCAATAAAATATATTTTAAAAAATAAAAAGGAAGAGCCCACTAAGATCCCTCTCTCCAGCTGTATCAATTCCTGATTGTAAATTCTCACTCCCTGGGTTGTGGCCCAATGAGCCAAGAGTTCAGCTGTTCCCTAGGGGATTGGGAGACCGTGAATGCCATTAAGAGAAGTTGTTTCCGCCACTGGAGAGAACTTCCCTGTATCACTTTACATCATTAATATATTTACACTTAGCACCAAAAGACGTGGGGTGCTAACTGAGAAGAAGAAGCGAAAACTAATTTCTGGGCAGAAAGAACAGATCCCTGAGAAAGACCTGGAAGAGGAGAGTAAGCGGAAAGTTTTAGGAGGACGAGGAGCGTTGCTCTCTTGGCCCCGGCCCAGCGGAAGGCGGCCTGTGATTTATCGCACATAGCCAGAGGGCCCGCCGGCAGCCTTTTCCAGGAACGAGCTTTTGTGAAAGACAGCCTTCATCACAGCTATGCCCACTCACCCGTTCGTTTGTGCTTACTCGGAAACTGGGCCGGAACGGGTTTGCAAAAGGGGCAGCAATGGAAGAGCCACGTCACAGCTTCCCCCAACCCCCCACCCCCGCTCCACCTGTCCTCAGGGGGAAAAATTAAAATCCTCTTTTCCAAACGCACGCCTCAGGAAAAACAGCTTCGTTGCATTTGTTTCCATGCTGCGGAAAATCAACACACACTGGCTTGGATCCCAAACAGGGCCAAACTGCAGAATGCTGAGATTCTGCAGCCAGGAAGAACCCGGAGGCCTCCTCCGGCCACCCTCCCCCCAGCACATTCGACTTCAATTATGTGGGAACATGCCTGGGCCGGGGGTGGGGGGTTGGGGGGGGGGGGGTGTTTGCTGCCAGTACTCTGCCGGCCCTGCTGAAGAAGGCCTGGTGCTGCAGCCCAAAATCCTTCCTAAAAGTCCACACAGGATCTCTCAGTTGCTGCCAATACTTCACTTTGTCTCTGGCCAGATTCCTGGCTCTCTAGAGCCCGAGAAACTCTAAAGCTCCCCCCTGTGCCTCCCTCCCTCTGTGTTGGGTCCTCCTCATCCTGCAGCCCTTGGCTCCTCACCCCGGTTGTAAATATGCCCGCGGCTTCTCAGAACCAGAGTAATCTCGAAAAAGATAACCCACACCAAGCCCCGTCCCCAACCCCTCATCTTCTTGGTTAGCCCTCAGGAGAGAGCTGCCTTTTTTTTTTTTTTTTTAATATATTTTATTGATTTTTTTAGAGAGAGGGAGAGAGAGGGAGAGGGAGTTAGAAACATCGATGAAAGAGAATCATCGATCAGCTGCCTCCTGTACACCCCCTACTGGGTATGTGCCCGCAACCAATGCACATGCCCCAGACCGGAATCAAACCTGGGACCTTTGAGTCCGCAGGCCGACGCTCTATCCACTGAGCCAAACCGGTTTCGACGAGAGCTGCCTTTTTGGTGAACTCTTAAAACCAGTGTTATTTTCGCCTTCTGAGAGAACATTCTTGTGGAAGGGAGGCAATGGAGGCTAAAAAAAAACACACCCTGACTGGATTACTCTTCTCTTATGGGAGCCCCAATAGGAAAACCTAGAAGAACATTCCTCTGAGAGACCTCATTTCCAGTGCCGGTTACCCCAGGTGGGCAATCGGGGGGGGAGAGGGGCAGACCCAAAGTCTCCGTTTTATTTGGTAGGACCCAGAGCTGATCCAGGCACTTGGCACTCCCTGAGAAACCTGAGGCAGAAGCAAGTCCTGGACGTTGGACTCCAAGGCCAGCTCTACCTCTTGGATTTCGAACCATTTACCCAACTACAGTCACAGTGCTGAGCACTTGCCATGTCCTGTGTTCATTCAACCCACAACATCTGCCTGGGAGGTAGGTAGCGTTTGCCCCATATTACAAACCGGGAAGCCAGGGCTCACTGGGAGATGGTTCAGGACTCCACCGGCATTGACTTGAGGTCACATAGCTAATATGTGAGTGAGTGGTGTGCAACCTCAGCATCCTCCGGCCCCCAAACCTGGGCTCCTCTCCTCTCTACTCCCCTAAACTCTGGATCTTGGGAGCAGAAAGGACACCGCTCCCAGTGTCTGTTCTGTGGTTGCTTTAACTCAGTCCATCCGCTCAACTAAGCCGAATACTGAGTTAAGACCACTTTGGCCTGAGTAAGTAGACCCGTCCTGTATCCATGCCCTCTTCACGGGACTTTCTAACTCTGTCTTCTGTCCCACTTCACCGGGACCTGAGCCAGAGCTGATAAAGGAGGTTATAAACAATGCCTGTGGCTTTCCCTCTGTGTCCAAAGGCTGGCTTTTGGGAAATCATTGCAATGCCTATTGTGGCCCCTTCACTCTGGGAGGCTTGGGGCCCAGCGTACACCAACCATTTAAGCTGACACCTCAGTTCTTTTATACAGAGCTTCATGGAAACCGAGGTGCTTCCCTAGCTGGAAAAAATTGCTTCTAAAACAAAAGTCCAGACTTTTTAAGAGTGTAGACTCAGTTACGGCCCGCCAAGGCGCTATCAAACAGGCATAAACTGGCTAACTGGAAACTTTAGATTCTGGCACAATCAGTTTAATTGGTGGCTTCAGTTTATTACAGAAAAATAGGGGAGAGAGAAAGCCTAGAACAAAATTCTTATAAACTACTGAGGGATATTATAAAGCAGTGTTAATTTACAGGTGTAAGTGATATGTTTGTGGTGTGCAGATATCTCCCAAGGGCTTTTTCTAAAATATAGCAAATGAAATTTAATTTATACTATAGATCCAATTTCTATTTTGTGTTATGTAACTCTTATTTCTATTTATCCTACTTATAATTATATATTCTAAATTATATATTCTAAATTTATATTATATATAAAATAGTAACAAAAGCATTATATTTTAAAATACACAAGTATATTACTTGTATATTTTTAAATTTTGACATATAATCTTATAGATAAAGGTTAATATGCAAATTGGCCAAACGGCAGAATGACTGGTTGCTATGATGTGCACTTACCACCAGGGGCAGACGCTCAATGCAGGAGCTGCCCCTGGGTGGTCATTGCACCAGAAGTCGGCTCATGGCTGGTGAGCGCAGCAGTGATGACCAGAGCATCTCCCACCTCTACAGCAGTGCTAAGGATATCTGACTGATGGCTTAGGCCCCCCACACAGGGAGTTAGGGCCCCCAGACTGTGAGAGGGTGCAGGCTGGGCTGAGGAACACCTCTCCCCAGTGCAGGAATTTCATACACCTGCCCCCGAGCCTGTAGTTAATATGTAATATGCGGCTCTTAAGTGTTCCGTTGATTGAGTTTTGACAATTGTATACAGCTGAGTGATCACCACCCAAATCAAGATGTAGATCATTTCCATCTCCCTCTAAAAGTAGGATGTTTTATTCTTAAAGCAGAAAAACAGAGGAGAATTAAAAGCACCCTTATCCTAAGAGAGAAAATCATTATAGTGCTTTAGTTGTGTTTCTTCCAGCATTTTTTATGCATATTGTGTTTAAACTAGAGGCTGGGTGCACAAAATTCATGCACCCGGGAGGGTCCCTCAGCCCGGCCTGTGTCCTCTTGCAGTCTGGAAGCCCTCCGGGGATGTCCAACTGCCACAGAGGCGATAGAGACACCTGCCACTGACACTGTGCTCAGCATCCATGAGCCCAGTTCAGAGCTTCTGAATGAATGGCGCTCCCCTTGTGGGAGCACACTGACCACCGGAGGGCAGCTCTTGCATTGAGCATCTGCCCCCTGGTGGTCAGTGCACCTCATACAACTGGTCCTCCCATTGTTCACTCAATTTGCATATTAGCCTTTTATTATGTAGGATGGTGTATTTGTCCTTTCAGTAATTACTTTAAATCCTACTAAATGCCAGATACTCTAGATTTGGAGGATGAACCAGCAAATATAACAGCCCCAATCATTGCCATCCCCAAAACAAACAAATTTCCAATAATGATAAATGCCAGGAATAAAAATGACGTGGTATAAAGGGATAGAAGGTTGTGGCTATTTTTAGGTAGGCTAGTCAGGGAATACCTCTATGGTTGATTATATGCAAATACTACTACTAATAATAAAAACTAAAAAAAAAGAAAAAAAAAAAGCTTAATTCGGACTTCTGGCTTCTAGAACTATGAGAGAAGCAACTTCTGTTGTTCTAAGCCTTCCAGTTTGTGGCACTTGGATATCTTAAAAATTAGCACACTAGCCGAAACCGGTTTGGCTCAGTGATAGAGCCTCAGTCTGCAGACTGAAGGGTCCCGAGTTTGATTCCGGTCGGGGGCATGTACATTGGTTGCGAGCACATCCCTGGCAGGGGGTGTGCAGGAGGCAGCTGGTCAATGTTTCTCTCTCATTGACTTTTCTAGCTCTCTATTCCTCTCCCTTCCTCTCTGTGGAAAATCAATAAAAAAAAATTTTTTTTTAAATTAGCACACTAACTTTTGCTTCTGTTCCCTCTGACAGCTATTCTTTTCCACCTAGCCAATTCCTATTCCCATCATCAACTTAACTTTAAACTCTGCTTAAGACAGTAATAAAACCTATTAACAGTTTTCCTGGATCTCAGAATAAAATCCAAAGTCTTACCTAAGCCTACAAGGTCCTCTGTGCTCTGGCCCTGACCTGCCTTTCTAATCTCATCTCATTCTACTCTTCTCTATTTCTCCCCAGCTACCTTGAGACTTCTGTGGTGTGTTGCTTTGTCAGGTCAGCCATAACAGAGGGCCTCACACTGAATGATGTAAACAGCAGAGAATCACTGTCGCACAGTCTAGAAGCCAAAAGTCTGAGGTCAAGGTGTCTACAGCGTTGGTTCCTCCTGAGGACTGTGAGGGAAGGCTTTGCTCCAGGCCTCTCCTGGCAAACAAAGATCCGGCAGGTATACCACCCAGCTTGGATGGGCAGTGTGGTGCAGAGGTTTGTGTCTGGGCCCGGAGTTAGCCTGCCTGGGTTCAGACCCCAGCTCTGCTACTGCTCCTTGAGTGATCTAGGGCAAGTTATTTGACATCTCTGATGGTAATAATATCTGCCCCTCACAAGACTGTTGTGTTAGTGGCTCCTGTCCTGCTCCCTGCTGGCCTCTGTGCTTATATCTCTCATTCTCCCCCAGCTAGACAACATGCATTTCCTTTATCTGCACAAGGCTTGCTTCCAGAGAATCCCCTCAACGCAGCACAGCTGGAAGGCATGAAGGAACCAACACAGGCCCAGCAGATGAAATCAAGCAGACTTTGCATGACTGAAGGCAGGTAAGGGGCATCCTCACCTGTATGATGCTGGCACCTAGCACATCCCCTGGAATGTCTGAGGGAATTTACGGTCATAACCACTGGGAATGTATTGGAAAAGGCAACAAGGAAAATGCCTGAGGAATTAAGAAGAGTTGGCCAAGGTGATTATGACTGTGCACGCCTGGAATGGTTTAGGGACATGGTGGCATTTGGGATGAACCTGGAAGATAGAGCTTCTGGCCTGCCTCTGTGTGGAATGCTAAGGCAATTTCAGAGAGTATTGCTTTGAGCAAATTCTGTGAGTTGGAGGAATGGATGTGTGAGATGCCTTCAGCTGCAAGTAACAGAATCCTAACTCAAAATGGTTCCCACAATGAGGGGGCTTATTATCTCACAAGGCAAGAATGGAGGTAGGTCAAGTTCTGGATGGGTTAAATGAGCGGCTTAGCAACCTTACCAAAGGCCTGGTACAGAAGCCCTCTTGAGGCACTTTCCCTCGTTCCATGAGGCCAAGTATGATTCACCTCCCAAGATTTGGGGAAGGGCCTCCCCACCCCACTGTAGTGATGGTTGTACAACTCTGTAAAGGTACTAAAAAACATTGGAATGTACACACTTTAAATGGGTGAATTATATAGAATGTGAATTTTATGTCAGCAAAGCTATAAAAAGAATAGTCCAAGTTGGATATCTTAGGGATTCTTCTCACTCATTTGCCTTCCTCTCTTCCTTACCTGTCCTTCATTTATTTGAACATGTAAAGATATATATTTTTTAAGCCGAAACCTGTTTGGCTCAGTGGATAGAGCACATGTGTCAAACACAAGGCCCGTGGGCCAAATCCGTCCCGCCAGGCCTTGCATTGTGGCCCCCACTGCGCTGTCATCACTGCAGTCCGCTGCGTTTCCATCACAATGACAGTTTATGACTGTTCAGTAAACCATTCGGCACGCGATTTAGGCTGGATTTTAGATTTTGGCCCCTTCTCTGATTGAGTTCGACACCCCTAGGATAGAGTGTCAGTCTGCGTACTGGAAGGTCCCATGTTCGATTCGGTTGGGAGCATGCACATTGGTTGAGGGCACATCCCCGGTGGAGGGCGTGCAGGAAGCAGCTGGTCGATGTTTCTAGCTCTCTATCCCTCTCCCTTCCTCTATGTAAAAAATCAATAAAATATATATTTTTAAAAACTGATTTCAGAGAGGAAGGGAGAAAGAGAGAGAAACATCAATGAAGAGAGAGAATCATTGATCGGCTGCCTTCAGCACATTCCCCACCTGGGGAACAAGCGGGCACCCTGGGTATGTGCCCTGACTGGGCATTGAACCGTGATCCATGATCTCCTAGTTCATAAGTCAATGCTCAATCCCTAAGCCACACCGGCTGGACTATTTGAATATTTTCCAGCACCTATTTTATGCCTTTCCTCCGTTTTAATCTAGCATTGTTGAATGTTCTACTAACCATGAGTGCCCTTCAAGGAATGGTGGAAAGAAAAAGATTTTAAGGTCAGCCTAGAATAAATAGTGTATTTGTAAAGTGGTGTAATAATATTGCCCAATAAAATGAGATCAAAGGGTTTAATCAGGACTCGTGGAGAAAAAGTTGAAAATTACAGATTCAAGGACCATGCCAAAAATCTGGATGAAAGCTGAAAATTTCAGCCCCATGCCTGGTCATCTTATCTCTTCAAGCAGGTTTGGGCCATTCAGCGTGTGGCCTGTACTTCTTTCATTTTCCTGCAACACAGCCTCTGAAAGGTCCTATGTGACTCAAGAACATCTAGTGTAGTTCTCATTGTCGAAAAAGGATTATGAGGATGACCTTCCCAAGGTCATGCGATTGCCTTTCTGGAGAACCAGTCTATTGGGTCTCCAGAGAAACAGAACCAATAGGATATATATATAAATACACACACACACACACACACTGGCTTACTTGATTAGGGAGGCTAAGAAGTCCTACAATCTAAGCTGGAGACCCAGGAAAGTTGGTGATATAGTTTCAGTCTAAGTCCCAATGCCTGAAAACCAGCAGAACTGATGGTATAAGTTCTAGTCCAAGTCCAAAGGCCTGAGAAAAATCCTGATGGCATAATTCCCAGCCTGAAGGCAGGAGAAGACCTACGTCCCAGCTCAAGTGGTCAGGCAAAAAGAGAATTCTCCCTTCCTCATTTTTGTTCTATTCAGACCTTCAGTGGATAGGATATTGCCCATAAACAGTGGAAAAGATAATCTGCTTTACTAAGTCTAACAACTCAGATGTTAATTTTTTTTTCTTCTAGAAACACTCTCACAAGCACATCCAAAAATAATGTTTAATGAGATATCTGGGCATCCTGTGGCCCAGTCAAGTTGATGTATAAAATTAATCATCACAATCAGCTTTGCAGAAACAATACCTGGTGCTATTTTCATCAGGATGGTTCTAGCAATCCTAAATGAGATAACAAGAACTGGAGGTTTGAAAGTCATCAGATTGATAAAAGTAGGCTTCTCAGCTTTCTTCTGAATACTAGGAGACATCTTGTGTGTGTTTTTAAAGTTTTAAAATTGATTTTCAAATATCCCATCTCACTATGATAGATTACAAAAAAAAAGGCCGAAAATTCCTTCCACCTTGCAGGCCTATCCTTTGCAAAGTGATTTTGCAGCTTATTCTATCAAGAGCTATGGAGTCTTGTTTTCCCACCCCCAAAACCTGGTCTTAGCCATAGGTCTTGCTTTGACTTAATGTGACTTTAGAAAATGGGACACAAGAACAGACTTGAACAGTGCCAGTGCCTTGGGGTTTGTCTTCGTTTGCTGCTCTTGGGAAACCGTGTGACCACCATGTGAACAGGCCCAGGCTAGTCTGTCTGATTAGAGGCATGTGGCCATGTTGTCTTTATCATCGTCCCCAACTGATATGGAGCCAGTTGCTACACATGTCAGTAGGCCATCCTGGACCATTTTATCCCCATTGAGCCAGCCCAGGATGGAAGAATTGTTCAACCAACCACAGAATTTTTTTTTAATATATATTTTATTGATTTTTTTACAGAGGGGAAGAGAGAGGGATATGCCCTTGACTGGAATCAAACCCGGGACCCCTCAGTCCGCAGGCTGACGCTCTATCCACTGAGCCAAACCAGTTTTGGCCAACCACAGAATTTTAAGATAAAATAATGTTTGTTGTTTTAAGCCACTATGTTGGGGGGTGGTTTGTTACACAGTGAATGCTAGCCAGTACACAAATATTCAGGATGTTCTTAAAAAGGCTTATATAACTTAAAAAAAAAAAAGTTCAAGTGTCAGGATTTCTGAGTCATTTTCAGGAAACCAGAAGCTTAGCATTTGCTTCCTGCTATGTGAAGACTTGCCCTGTATTGATCCTCTGAGGACAGAAATAAACCACTTGTGCCATGGAAGAAAACCCTGATCAAAGGAGAGCGAAACCAATTACTATAGGGCCTTGGCTCCAGGCTTAAAGGAGCCTCCTTTAAGCCTGCCGGAGGCTAGTGACTAAAAGTAGTTCCCCAGAAGGACCCTCACGGTTTCTTGGCTCCGGTGTCTCCTGATGAACTACTAGACGGACACTTCCCCAACTGCCTACAGGGCCACATGACAAGCTCTTCACTGGAAGAGAGCTATACTTTATCCAGGGGTGAATGCAAACCCTGCCCAAACCACATGCGATTGAAACGTGGGTAAGGAAGGCTAGTTGTCCAACTGGCTCTCTCCCTCACTACCTGGATGCTGGCCCCATCATGGGGGCCCATGGCTGGTCGCAATTAACAGGTATGAATAGGAAGCATATGCCATTTCAGGCTCAAAGAATCCAACATGGATAAAGTGAAAGAATTAGTCTCGATCGAATAGAAGCAACTCAGGTTTGTTAAGTCCCCATTACGCACACGGGGAGAGAAGAAGCAGTTTCTGCCGCTCCTGTATCTGGCCAATAGGGTATTTCAGGAGAAAAGCAATACACCTGTGGCAGAAAGGAATGCAGGGTGAAAGGTTCCTGAAACAGGCCTTTCTGTCCCATTTACGTGACCTAGGATGTTCCTGCCCAGAGCTTGAGAATGGCAGCTCGCGGTTGAATAAAAATTGAAGTGGTGCAGACGGTAACGGATCTGACTGTGGGAAACGAGGAAGGGCAGCATGCGGGGGGATTGGCAGGGAGTGACCTTGGGTAGAGTGCATGCCACTTCCCTGCTCTGGTTTGCCATCTCTGGGGTGAGCGCCAAAGGAAACAATGCAAATAAAAGTGCTTTGTAAACCATGAAGTGCTATACAAATATTACTTATTCCTTCTGATGGCCTACCATTTTATTTTGTTATGTTTTTGGAAAAGGTAACATGTGTACATGGTAAAATAAATTTTCAAAAGTAAATTTTCTGCCAAAACCAGTTTGGCTCAGTGGATAGAGTGTCGGCCTTCAGACTGAAGAGTCCTGGGTTCGATTCCGGTCAGGGACATGTACCTCGGTTGTGGACACATCCCCAGTGGGGGGCGTACAGGAGGCAGCTGATTGATGTTTCTCTCTCTCCAATGTTTCTAACTATCTCTCTCCCTTCCTCTCTGTAAAAAATCAATAATATATATATATATATATATATATATATATATATATATATATATTTTTTTTTTTTTTTTTTTTAAGTAAATTTCACAACAGTCCAAAGGTATATGATAAGTTTCCCTCCTTCCTAGTATCAGTTTTTTTATGCATATAGAGTGAAAAATAGATACATATACACACATATTTATATACTAGAAGCCTGGTGCATGAAAATTCATGCACTGGAGGGGGGCATCCCTCAGCCTGGGCTGCCCCCTCTCTCAGCCCAGGAGCCCTCAGAGGCAGGAGGCGATCCAGCGATTAGGGGAATGCCACACCCCCATCACACCTCTGCTACTGCCACCACCGGCAGCTCAAGCCTGGGCCGGCCCTGGTTACCTCAGCCTCGGGTGGCCCTTGGTGGCTGGGGGACTGAGGGGATTGGGGGACTCCGGAGGTAGTCCATCTTATGGCTGTGGGCACTGCTACCTTTGAGGGTATGACAGTCAATTAGCATATTCCCTCCATATTGGCTGTGGGTGCCGCCATATTTGCGGCAGTGTGAGGGTCAATTAGCATATTCCCTCTTTATGAGATAGTATATCTATACTAATAAAAGGGTAATATGCTAATTAGACTGGGTCGACCGGTCATGTTCCAGACATCTGACTTCCTTCCAGACAAAGCCATGGTGGTAGGGGCTAAGGCAAAGGCAGTTAGGGGCAATCAGGCCAGCAGGGGAGGGCAGTTGGGGCCGAGATCAGTCTGGCAGGGGAGAGCAGTTAGGGGCAAACAGGCAGGCAGGCAGAGGCAGTTAGGGGTGATCAGGCAGGCAGAGAGGTTAGGGGTGATCAGACAGGCAGGTAGAGGGGTTAGGGGCAATCAGGCAGGCAGGCAGGTGAGCAGTTAGGGGCCAGTGGTCCCAGATTTCGAGAGGGATGTCCTACAGTCAGTTTTGGGATCGGGCCTCAACTGGCAGTTAGACATTCCCCAAGAGGTGAGCCTGAGGGAACCCGCCCTCCCCATGCACAAATTTTGTGTACCAGCCACTAGTTCATACATCCCTTTCATTTAACACAAATTGGTGTACAACATAAAAATATTCTACACATTTATGTATATTTTATTATTCTACTATAATGTTTTAAAATATATTTTTATTGATTCCAGAGAGGAAGGGAGAGGGAGATAGAGATAGAAACATCAATGATTAGAGAGAGTAATTGA